TAGAGGGTAGAGATGTTTCAGTGGAGACCAAGGCCATCTACACTATTGTTTTCCTAATTAGCATGTATGGATGTGAAAGCTGGACAGTAAAGAAAGGTGACACAAGAATTGATTTGTTCAAAGAATGGTGCTGGAGGAGAACTTTACAAAATTGTTGAACTAACAGAAAGGCAGACAAGTACATTCTAGATAAAATCAATCAGAACTTTCCCTAAAAGCAAAAATGATAAAACTGAGATTATCATACTTTGGCATCATGAGAAGGCAAAACTGCTTGCCAAAGACAATCATGCTAGGGAATGTCAAAGGCAGAAGAAGAAAAGGAAGGATGAATAAGAAATATATTGACTCCATAAAGGAAACCACAGCCTGGAATTTACAACAGCTGATCAGGCCTGTCACAGGACATTTTGAAGAGCTTTCATCCATAGGATCACCATAAATTAGAAATGATTTGAGAGCACATAATAACAACAAACATCTACCGATTATGTGGTACTCCTCCATAGAACTGAATGAATTGGAGCAGTACAAAAGCAAGTGTTCGTGCAGAAGAACTGCTGTTTTTATTGCACTTTTTCGTGACTTTTCAGTCACTGTCAGAAAAAGGCTCCAATTTCTCTACCTGCTACTGGGCCCATGTTAAAAGTGAAACCAAGGAAACCAGAGAGATCATTTTTCTAAAGCAACACCACTGTGAACAGGAAGAATAAGGGGCATATTCCCTTCTCTGTATCTCCCCTTCTGCAATTCCAAGATGTGTGTGCAGTTCATGCATTTGCACATCTTACCAGGGAAGAGAATATATGCTTGCTGTTCCCCTTGTGTCAGTGTTGCAACTAGAGTCATTGTAAGGTGTTCCATATTGCTTTACTTTAACAATTGAGCAGTAATCTTAAATGTTAATTAATTTGGCAGTGTATACATCCGCATGATGTATATTCATCAGCATGATTTTGTGGATAAGTACTCAGAAGTAAATCTCTCTGTGTTCACTAGGGCTTACTGCCTAGTTAATGAATTTAGGATTACAGGTTAAACCAAAAATGTCAAACAATATTAGTTAATGTAGCATGGTGGCTAAAGTGTTAGGTTGGATGTGAAAATTCAACTTCAATGTCCTGCAAAGTAATGATATTCACTGGGTGACTTGGGGCATTGAATTCTGTCCCTGTCTGTAAACTCAGTGGCTGTACTAACAGGATAAGAGTGGACGACAGTTCCATGCAAGCTTTGGGACCTACAAATGTGACTCCCAAAGCCAATCCAGAGCCTTGGAGTTTCTCTTGTTGAATTGCTGGAAGCAAAACAGCATTTGGAAGGGACCTGCAGAATGGTACTAATGGTGCCTCTTTGTTTAATCTGCCTCATCCTGAGAAGCCACTCATGATGTTCACACCCTTGCATGATGTATAACAAAAACTAGCATATAAAGCTATATAAATAATACATGATTTTCAGTAACTATTTAATTCACTCATATGATTTATATATAGTGTCTACAGAGTAGCATCCCTTACATAAAGTAGCATCTCTTTACATAAAGTGTGGACATTCTTATAAAAAGTACGCTTCAGTTTTGTTGGGCATCACCAACTCATGGTTTTAAGATAAATCTGTGATGTCTACATGATAACTCTGTTAAGTGAGTGAATGGCATATTCATAGGATTATATCCAGACTAATAGCACAATCCTATGTGCTGTTAGAGAGAAACATCCTACAGCTCTCACCATTCTCCAGCCAGACCTTTTCTGTCTAAACATGCATAGGGTTGTGCCCTAAATTAGTCACATTTGAAAATAACTAATGTAGTAGGTTGTTTTGTTTTTAGTGGAGCTAAAATGTGATTAACTTAGTCTGGATTTGATCCAAGGAACAGTCTTCCCCAATATGGTTCCCTTCAGATGTGTTGGATTACAACTGCCATCAATCCCAGCCAGTTTGTTCACCATTCATGCTGCCAGGGGATGATGGGAGTTGTCCAGCACACCGAGAGGGCATCAGAGTGGACATGGCTGCTTACAAAGCATACTAGATTTTTTCTTTTATAGAAACCTGTAAGGCAGCCTTTGTGTGGTATCTAGCTTCTACTCTTAGGTACAGGGAGTATTCTTTGTAATGCATGAAATGCTTATAAAATTTCATTTTTTAAAATTTTGTTTGTTAAAACTCTTCTATGAACTCATCAGTTTACATGCTCTTGTTTGCATTTTTATTTTATAAAGGTGCTGTATGCTGCCGTGGTTTCTTCCATGAAGCCTAGCTGTAAGTCCATGGTATTTGTACTATCAGAGGCAGGAACACAGTGCATTCACTCAGGGTGTATGTGTCTGGAAGGAAAGCTCCCCAGCATCCTTGATAATCAGAAAAATTAGCAAGGACCATTGTGAAAAGCCCTTGAAATGAAAGCAGTACCTGGGCTAATGTTTCAACATGATAAATACCCCTTGGTTTAAAAGGGATGAACTAAATGATAACCTTTTCTCAGCTGCAAGAAGGCTGTTAGATGCGTCACAGCTGGTGATTAAAATGTTGAATGGGGAAAAGGGGGGAGCAGAACACTCTGGAAAGAAAGAATGTACAGATCAGGTACACTTGGGTAGAGGTTGCAGATGCTTCAGTTGATGGCATCGATTTAGGCAGTGAAAGAGGATTTTTTAAAAGGTATGGCATCTCAGAATCCTTACTCTGAAGGGCTAAAATTGAAGTTCACTGCCTTCATTGCAGTCAAGCTAGTTATTTCCTAATCAAGTTCAATACCAAAATCACATTTACTTGATTTTTCTCACTCTCATATAGAATTTCCAAAAGGCATCACAGAAATTGAGGGACTTCCAGGACTGACTCTTGACATACTTGGCTGTATTTCTACAATTGTATACAAAGAAACTTTTCTTTTTCATTCCATTTGATGCATGAACCCCTTTTTCTGGGCATACTTCTTTGATGTGTTCATAGCAGAGTCACAGAATGTCTGGAGATGCACTGCATTTGGGTGGCCTATTCATCTTGGGAGAAAATGTGAGGCATGTACCAGACTGCAGCCAAAGGTTTTGTAACTCAGATTCATACAAGCTTGTCTGTTTAAAATGACCAAATAATAAAACACAGCTCATTTTCACAGTCAAAACAAGTTGTTCATTTGCATTTCCTATGCCTGTAAATTGGGTTTTCCTGTGCCTGTAAAAAAATATTGACTGGATGATACTCGATTTTAATATGCCCTTTTCCTTTGCTAAAAGCATTAGCAAGAGATTATTTCCGAACAAAAGGCATTACTGTTGTTTTGACCATGCATTTAAGGCTGTCAAAACAACTATGCTTGTTCAGGTATAATCCTGGGGGTTTGAGGTGGAGTTCATGTGGGGTGGGAAAAGGGGGCAAACTTGAATTAGTGGTGCTTTGAGAGTTGTGTTCTGGGGAGTTCTCTCTCACTCTTCCTAAGGGGGTGCTATGAATTGAGTTGATGCGTCACATTAGTATCGACCGAAAGCCTGTGCAGTCCAGTCTCAACAGTACAGCCCATCTTATGACAGAGTCACCATTTACCATTCTATGTTGTCTTGATGTTTTTGTAGGGAACGGTTTGCTCTGCCCTTTTACCATGAAGGACAAGATGCAATTTTCTTACCATAGGATGCTGGGGCTGCTGTTTTCTTACCATCGATTGCTGGGGCTGCTACTTCTGACCATCTGTCTTGCATGTCAGCTGCTGAAAACCATAAAGGGGAGGGAGAGAAATATCTCCCTGATAATATATACAAATCCAGGACTAGGTTGTATAAGTTTATAGCTATGTCTTATTTTTTTTACAGAGCTATAATCGTGATGCTTAGAGTGATCTGAAAGGAACAGAAACACTTAGCCTTGAACTTTTGTTCTGCTGCTGCTTCTTGTGCCTCTGAGGTACAAAACATACCTGTAAACTTATAACCTGTCATGCCGATTTTCCAAGAGACTGAATTAAGATATGAAAAGGTTACACGTGCTGACTAGTGAGAAACTTTGGGTGGAATGTGTGGCATACTGAAATTTTTGATGTGTAGATATACAGCAGTTCAGGTAAACAGGAAGGGAAAAACCTTTCCCTTTCCATAGCTGGAGTATATGCTTTATTAAGCAAGAGGAGAAGAAAAAGAATACTCTGTATGTTTTGTGTGCAGAGTGGAAGGTTCTCTGTGATTCTATAAATAAAAGCCCAACTGAGTTAAAGATAATGATCTATACTTAACTCCAAGAACTATATTCCCACAGAGAAATCCTCCAAATCCATCCAAATTGAAGGTTATTATTGCTTCTTATTGCAGCTAATCTCCTGCCTTCATCCTAAAAAATAATTAATGCTCAGAAATTTTAAAATGCTCTATCTTAGTTTGTGTACATTCTTCAGAACAAAACAAAAATAGTGTGGATGTGTGCATGTACAAATTTGTGCGCACATACTGACAGAAAACAGTAGACCAACCATTTATAGCTCTGTACAAACACACATGTTTCAGCATCCAGCTATGCAAATAACTCCATAGCACAGCAAATTCTGAAAAGCATTAATTGTGGCACTATGACTGTTGCATGGCAACAGTTGTGCTTGTTCAAATGACAGCTATTGCCCCTTGATTTTTCTCTCTCATACTTAGTGACAAATTAGAAATGAAGGAATGATGGCTACCCTGGGAAAAGCTGTGGCAGATGCTAGGCCCAAAGTCAGGAGGCAGTAAGGTTAAATTCCTACATGTGATCCCCAGGCCCTTGAAATCACATGCATGGTAATAGTCCTTTAATTAATGGCCATAAAGGAAAATGTGGCTTCATTTCTCTTAGCCATGCATTTCTTTTGCCTTCCTGAGCAAGCAAAGCCCATTTGACCAAGGCAACTGGGGGTGGGGGGTGGGGGGGCAGAGGAGGGTGAGGAGACCAGGAAAAAGGGTCTGGGTTTATCATTTTTCATGGGTGGGCCTGTAAAAGGGTTGAGAGAGTTGTCCAGGTATCACATGGTAAAGAACCCTACCTGTATATCTATTTCTGCTAATAATCCTTTGACTAAAGTATCTAGAGTAGACTCAGATAAATGCTCCAAACACATAACTTGTTCATTTAAGCACTGACTTAAATAATCTTAGGAAGCAAAATTCATATTTTATTTGGCCTCTTTAGACTGCCATTCTAAGCACACCTACCTGGAAATGAGTTCAATTAAAATCAAAATGTGAGGTAAATATGCTGAAAATATGTTCATCCTCCAAGTTCCCAGCATTCCTCTGATTGCCTTAGTAAATGAAAGATGGTCTTGCAATGGTTGAACAGGATTCAGGGGAATGCTGGAGAGAAGCCATACTCCATCTTATCTACCTGACATTCCAGTCTGAATATTTAAATATGGCTGCTTTCTGCAGGATGGTGAAAAGCTAAATTAGAAGAAAGTAGTTTTTCTTGTGAGGAGATCTTATCAGCAGTCAATCTAGGTAAGATTGTTACTTCTTGATATGCAGTCCTTTTAAAAAAACTCAAAGTTTTGGGGGTCTGTAATATTTTCCTTCTTTCATCTGTGGAGAAGGGCAGCATGGATATTAGGAAAGGATAATTGGTGCACATTGTGTGCAGACAGTGCTTTAAGAGATACCGTTTTGGAGTGATTGTTTATGAACTGTAGACAGAACCTTTGATAAAGGGCCAGGCAAAGCTAGAATAAAAGACATCTAAAATTGAATCCCCTCTAGTATCAAACAGAATAATGCTATGTCTTGGCTATATGGCACATTTATACTCAAAATGCACAATTGCACTGGAGGGAATCAAACCAAGAAAAAACTCTGTTGAGCTGCCAACCTACAGCTGATGCTGAGAGAGAGAGAGAGTGCGGTGTAGTCGGTAGGAGAGTGAGTCTGGACTCAGGAAATCTGGATTCTAGCCCTTGCTCAACCATGGAGCCAACTGGATGACTTTGAGCCAATCACAGACTCTCAGTCCAACCTACTTCACAGGGTGGTTGTTGTGAAGATAAGATTGACAGCAGGAGGAGGAGATGAGTGCTTTAGAAAAGAAAAAAATGGGATATAAATCTTCTATCTGGTGCAAGGTAGACACATTCTTTACAGTGGCTTTGCTATGACGGCTCAGCTAAAATAACATGGATTTTATTAGCATCCCCTTATTAAAGGAGTTGTGGGGAGGGGGGTGGCATGGAGCAACAAACAATTCCATGGTGGTTCCAAGGTCATGAAGCAATATATGACAGTAGATGGGGGTCTAGAATCTACCTTCCCTTTTGTTGTGAAGCACAGCTCTCTAGTTTCTGAGAAGTATTTGTCAGCTGCTGGAGCTGGAACTGTTTCCTTCATAATGCTCAATTCCTTGGAGTTGTGAGATGATAACAAGTAACAGAATAGAAATTTGCATGGTAAGATGGAAACAAAGTAGTAAAAGGAAACTTCTTCTTGGATATTAATCCATCTTCCAACATAGGCTTTCTAACCAAGAATAAAATCTACACATACTTATTTGGGGGTTAGTTCAGCTGAAATTGGTGAATGACAGACTTCTGAGTAAACATGTTTAAGATTAAGATGTAGTATTAGTCCGGTTTAGGGTGCTTCAGCCTCCTCCTGCTTGCTTTGTCAAATAAATCATCAGATAGACAAAATAGTATTTTTCACTAGCAGTCCCCATCAACTTTTCTTTCATTTCAGGTCTCTTGTACTTCTTCCTGGTTTGTCAAGATTTTAGCACACTTGAGGTGGCATTGAAGCAGATGCACAACAGATGTAGACAAAGTACAGAACAGTGGAACAATCTATGTGTTTGGGGACACTGCAGCTAAAGATTTGGGGTTTGCTAATATTTTACATGGGAGAATGAAAGTTGACTGGAACCATCCTGAGAGTCATTGACTAAATAAGAATGGTATTAAAATGTCTTAAATAAATAAAGCACACTAGTGAAGATTAAAGACCCAATCCTATGCATCTTTGCACAGAAAATGTCCAGAAAAAGGTTTTCGGTTCAGCCTTAGGGAACAAGGAGGGTCCAGGCTAGACAGACTAATAGGACCTTTTACTTATCCATAACATCCAACCCTATTGATCTTTGCTTAATAAACCACTATTTCTTTTTGCTCTGTAAATATCTGTACATATAAGCACAAACTTGGATCCAGTGGAATGAGCAGTACACAGTCTCACTACCTTTACAATATCCTAGGAACTTGCCTTGCAAAAAGTTTCCAGATAGGTTGAGGCCCTTTTTGTTGTTGTTGTTTCTTAGTTTTAGTTAATTAAAGCTAATTGTTAAATCATCTATGAGTTAGGCAGATTAAGTCAAATCACCAAATGGAAAGCTACGTTTAAATTGCTAATTTGATCACCTTTTCCACTGATTCTTTTTCCATTTCTAAAAAATTGCTCACTTGACATAAATACTGAGTTTCCATCTCACTGGAGCTGTGAAACAAGACTTGCAGAACTAGGAAGATATTCTATATAAGTATTAGACTGGTGATTTCACTTAAACTGCCCAATACCATGCTCTATCAACAATTGCTAGAAGCTGTTTATGAACCAGCTGTGAAGGAAATTTATGTGGACTGTACAGAATTGCAAATATTTAAGTATGAGGTTTAAACATTCAGGAAATCAGAAGGTAGGTAGGCTGAAGTTACAAAATAAAGTTCTATTGCTGCTAATTTGAACTCTTGTTTTCTCAGATAGTAAACCAATGAGTATTAAGGGGCTGACTTGTCCCATTTCAGAAAAGAGTGGTTTTGTTCATTTTGGAGTCTGCCCCCTGGAAATTATTAATTTATCTTGCACAAATGATGGGTGCCTCTTCCACAACAGAATCATCAGGGCTGGCTGCTTGCGGGATAGGACTTGCAGTGGCCCCACTGCCCTCTGTCTGATGTGTACCACTTCAGAATGAATCTGGGCTCTTAACATTATTGAGTGTTACTCCATGCAAAGGAAACCAAAACCTGACACACAGAAAACTAGGAAGTTAGGGAGAAAGTTAGACCAGAATCTCTCTCCATTGCATCTCATTTTCTATAGCCAGGAATTGTTTTGTATGGAGAATCATTCAGTCATGTTGAATCGTGCACTGTGAATTGCGTACCTGTTCTCCGAAGTGGTAGAGTTAAGAAACCACTTTACCACCTCTCCTGCTATTTCTGAAAATCAAATCTGAGTAATTCTGCTAAGTAGATCTTTATATTTGGTCTGTTGAGCTCGGGGGCTCAGTTCAGATGCCACAGCTGAATGAGCCTTGTGCCTACATTTCCTCCTCATGTTCCAATTCAGTTAATAACTTCCTTTTTTGGTACAAACAATAGTTTGTCATTACATCTGCCTGCAAATAATGGTTTGTGCTTATCTTTCAAAACAAGAGTACAAACCATGCCTTGAAGCAGGTTCACAGAGTTTTCCAATTCAGATGAAAGGCAAGTAACTAATTGAATTGGAGCACAAGAAGAAGCTGGGTGTGCACATGCATGCAGAAATTGTTCATCCAGTGCCAAACCATGGTTTAGCATTAATGTTGGAACCATCCCACATTACTGAGGCTCAAGAAGATCAAATACAGTTTATGACTTGGTCTGTCATTATTTTGGCTGCCTAACATGTCCCAAATACCTTAATATACCTGATATAGCCAATGTTGTTAACTCAAAATATTAATTGTATTCCTTAAGACTAGAAAATGATGTCTGAGAAATGTAATAAGTAGAAATGAATCAGTTTCCCTGCACCTCCTGAAGACAGAAAGGTTGATCTTGTTTTTCAGGAACTACCAACAGAGACTCTCTAGCATCTCTGCAAAGAACTTGGCACTGCAATGTATAAATTAGCAAACAGTGAAGAGCATAGACACCTACTTTGAGAGAAGGAGTGGCAGGGTGGGGGGAAGAGATTGACTAATTTTGGTCACGACATTTATTGGAGCTTTGCTGTTATGGGGAAAATCAAGCAGTCACCCAAGCAGGTAAAACCATCCCCTGCTCTCTTGTTTTACTTGGGGTTGCTATTTCTTTTCATACTTAATGATTAGTCCAGACAGCCCTTGGAAGCCCTAGTGCATGTCTGGAGTAGTTGTGATTGATGTGGAGAGGGCATGGACTGAATTCTCTAGCTTGCAAGTTCAATCTGTTAAACAATTTGCAGCTTTTCTTTTGAACATTTTAGGACTATCCATGGTGCTGAACTCCAGCCCCAAAATAGGTTTACCACCATGAAGCATTATGTAAAGTTCCTGTTAGGTGTAGCCCCACTGCATAGATGTCACCAGCCTCCTCTGGCCTTGGAAATACAAGTACTTCAAAGGTTTTGACTCTGTGATATGATATGGTGACTTGGACCAATTCCCCTAGTGGTTAACCAATCTGTGATGGTGCTCTGCATGTTGCACAAAGTCAAAGGTTGTGACAGTAGCCTACTTGTGGGAGTGTGTCATGCAGACATTATGCACCTTTTCTGATACTTGAGGGGCTAAATTACATTGCCCCTGTAGAACGTAGTGGGAAAACCAGAGAAAGAGGGCATCTTGCTGCTGCTTTCCTTTCCTCCAGCACAGACTAGAGAATACTCTAGTCTAAGGGCTGCATGTGGAACAAAATAGTAGGGTCATGTCCTGACAGCTTTTTAGTGATGGCTAATATACTGGGACTGTTGGTAAACTGCAAGAGGGCCAGGGAGAGGTGACAGGCATAATCTTTATAGTTTGAGGCTGGACTTTAGCTATTTGTTCAGTTCAGATATACAAGTGAAGCTGCTGCCTTCCCACAGTATGCAATTTAAGGGTCAGCAAAGAGACAGAGCTGTTAGGATTTGTACTATAATTTGTTCCCAGCCCTTGTGCTGTATTAACTGTTTCTTTCTCCTTCTCTCTAGGGAGGATGCAGCAGACTGCCTTGGCCAGCCAAAATCTCCTTTGGAGAAATTTATGGTCAGATTGTGCACGTATCACCAGAAGCACTTCGTCCATGTCCTGAATGACATATGCACTGAAGCACAGACCAGCTGTGAAGGGCAGCAGCAGTTATCTGGACCTGAAAACATGGATGTGTCCACTTGTAGCTCAGGCTGCAGCCAGTATCGTACTGAGAATCAGGAGCTTGGAACTTCTTGCTCTGAATCAAAACTTCCTTCATCTTTGGACCCAGAGCAGTCAGGTCCGCATGGCTCTTTGCGCATACTTTGCCATGCCCTGAAGCAGCAAGCTGTGGATCTGAAAGCTACAGACAGGAGAGAAAACTGTAGCCCAGTTGTCAGAAGAGACTTTCCTGACCTTTCTAGCATTAGAACGACTTCTGTGAGTGCCAGGGACAGCCCCACTCAAGGATACCTCACTGCCTCCAACTCTCATCACTCTGCTAAGAGTCTTGAAGGACAAACCCCTGGGAGTGAGCAAGATGTGGGGCTTAGGAAGGGTGAGGATGACAAAGACCAGATTCAAAGCAGAGCTTTGCTGTCAGGCTACATTGCTGCAAAAGCATCTAATTTCAATGCTAGCGAGGATAGCCTGGAGAGTCGCATGGTCTCTCAAAAGAATATGTTTAAAACTTTCCCAGAGGAGGCCCGAGAGCCAGCTTTCACCACAAGCTCCCCTCGGAGAGCAGACAAAGAAAATGCTTTGCAGTGCAGTTCCAAAGCCTCTCTGCACCAAGATACTGAAATGAATGACCAGGAAGCAAGGCTGAAAGCAGAGAACATCCACCAGTCTTCAGGGAAGAACAAGGTCAGCTACCACATGCATCCTATCGACAAGACTCATGTGGAGAATGCCAAAGACACTTGTTGGCCACCACCTAATCCCATACCAGTGTCACACCACAAAACCACCAATGGACACCCCCGGACCAAGAGCATCTCAGCCTCCACCAAAAGCACTCGTAAGAGCAAAAGGTCTTCAGGACTAAGAATAAACGACTATGACAACCAGTGCGATGTTGTTTATATCAGCCAGCCAATTACAGAGTGCCACTTTGAGAGCAAGAGGACAATGACATCTAAGAAGACAGCAAGGAAAAGCACACGGGGATACTACTATAATGGTGAATGCTGTGAGCTTCCTACAGTTCGCACTTTGGCTAAGATGTCCTATGTACAAGACACTGGGAACACTCTGGCACCAAGGCCAGAAGTGTTAACAAATCCAAGTCAGGGGGTTGTTCTTCCAGGCAATAGCTATTCGGCAGGAGCCCAAGTGTTGAGTGACCATGGTGACAAAAGTTCTTCCACTGGGTCCCTCCCTCAAGAAGGTTCCTTGAACATTAAAAGTCAGGATGGGAGAAATGAGCAACTCCCAGCTGAAAGGATCCTTCCTGATGACAGTTCCTTGGAGCAGAGAGAAGTTAGTTCTGCTAAAGTATCCACAATGGCTCTCTCTCTGATTCCCTGCTCCATTCTGCTTGGGGACGAAGGCAGCCTCCCTCTTCCTTCACTTCAGACCACCATTGTCTCTTCCCCACAACAAACTGAAGGGGAGCTGCAGGACAAAACTGAGAGAAACACTGTTTTGCAGTCTGGTAGTGATGTGGGATCTATTAGCCCTAATGCAGATGACAGCAATGCAGTAGATTCTGTGCAGCTGCCTGTCTCCAGAGCAGCTGATGGTGAGGAAAGCTCTCTGTGCTTAAAGAAGGTGTCTACTGCAGAGTCTTCCATTCATGCAGACCAGGAGCCTCCTGTTAGAGTGGACTTGCTGCTGCCTGAAAAGCCTGCAGCCGGGATGAACTTGCTGCATCCCCTGGAGGAGCCTGCTTCTGTTGGTGACTTGCCACCACCCATGGAACCTCTCCCACCATCCCCTACAGAGGTGGCAAAGCCACATGCAGAGCCTCTTGTCAACCTAGACTCTTTAGAGACCCTCCCTGCAGAACTTTCCCCTGTCGTAGGGAGTTTGTGTTCTGAGGAGCCTGGTGCTGGTTCAACAACAGAATCTCCCATGATTCTTCCTGCTAGTCCAGCGCCTGAGCCTCCTGCCCATATTGACCTAGAACCATTAGAGGCTCCTTTGATAGAACCTCCAATGGTGGCACCTGGCAAGATGGAATCAGCACTTCCACAGCGCCTTTCCAATTTGGATGCAGTAGAGCTCCCTATCCACTCACAGTGTGCTAATGCACATGAAAGCATGGATCCTGAAACGAATATTGAAGGTACTCAGGACTTGGAGGAAGGGAAAAGTGGGGTTATGCTGTCTGTTGCAGAAATTGAGGAAAACTGGGGAAGGGAAAGTATAAGAGACACAACTGAGTCTAACAAGATGAGTGAGGGAAGGGAAACTGAGAGTGAAGCTTTGCCAATGCCCAAAACATCAGAGACAGGCAACAAGATGGAGACTTCTTTCAAAACAAACCCTGAGAAAAAAAGGAAGAGGGAGAAGAAACCTCAAGTTATATCTGATCGATGCCTTCGAAGCCAACAGCCCCTGTCACCTTCTGAGGACAGTACTGAGCAGCCCAACTCTTCCACATCCATGCAACTTCCTCAGCTGCAGATCAAGCTTTCTAAAAGTCCTGGTGCTAAGCGTTTTAAAAGAGAAGTGCACCTTGATGGGGCGGCATCAGTGTGTGTTCCAACTGACAGCTTCCACAAAGCACTACAAAATGACACTGGGAAAACTCTTGAGCCACAGGAAGGTAAGGAAAATGACATCACAATGAGACAGATCTGTAAGACAGTGTTGACAAAGGAGACTTTAACAGAGGAAAGCCAAGATGCTGAAGGGAACAAGACAAAGCCAACAGCAATGCTTGAAATCTATTTAGAGGCTGATTCTGACAAAAGAAGTGTCCATGTCCCAGTAGGAACTTCCGAAAAGGGTGACAAGCCTACAGAGTTAATGCTAGAAGATCCAGGGAACTCAGACAGTACCATGGATGCTAAAAAGTTGTCGCTCATTCAGCGTGGGACTAGTTGCCCTGGGAGCAAGAATGAGAGCAAGCATGCACCAACAGAGAAGTCAGTGAAATACAAGAGGGCAGTCCTCCAGTGCTATAACTTGAGACATACTCCTGCCCCAGTATCTACGATCAGTGCCTCCCAAAACATGTCAGGAGTGGAAACGATACAAGGAGACTCCAATGTCACAAATATACAAGCAGGCTCTAATGTCACAGACCAACAAGATGCAGAGCCTGAAGAACCTACTGCCTTCAACAGCATGGAGATACTGATTAACAGCAAGCCAAAATTTGTGGAATGGTGTTCTGAGGAAGAAAACCAAGAACTCATAACTGACTTTAATGCCCACTATATGAAGATCCAGAAAGGGTGGATTCAACTGGAGAAGGAGGCCCAGCCAGCGCCAAAAGTCAAGAATAAATCTGACAAGCTGAAAGAGATTTGGAAAAGCAAGAAGAGGACTCGAAAGTTCAAAGGGTCTACTGAAGTCCAGAAGCTATCCCCTGTTCAGATGCTGTTTATGAAGCCTTTTGAAATGCCCAATATATGCAAATGGCTTATGGAGACAACTGAAACTAAGTCCCTGGTAATAGTGAAGAAGCTGAACACACGTCTTCCAGGTGACATCCCCCTTATTAAGCTTCCACTCCAGAAAGGCTGTTCTTCTGGCATCTATTCCAGCTCACTCCAAGCAGAACGTCTAAAGAAACACCTAAAAAAGTTTCCTGCAATGTCACCAGCGAAAAACACCATAAAGACCCAAAGAATGTGGGCCAGGATTCGAGAGAACACTGAAGAAACAGAGCCTGAACAAATTGCCAGTCCAAAGGAGACACCCCCATCAGAAGTAAGTTTGGAGCGAGGTGTTGAAGCCAAGGGTTCCCAACCTCCTCCTAGCATGCCAGTGCAGACCAGCTCCCGTATCCTGCGAAAATACTCCAACCTGCGTGGCAAACTTCATGGCCTCTGCAGAGTGGTCAAGCCGGAGAAGAGTGATGCAGTGGCAAAGCATCCCTTGGCTGAGAGCAAGTCAAATAGCAAAAGCTTGTGCATTAAGCCACTGATGTCACCAAAGTTGGCCCAGCAGGTCAAAGTAACCCCACTTCCTACTAAATCCAGTTTGGTTGAGAAAGGAGGGAAAGGCAAAAAGGGGAAAGGCAGGTCACAGGAGGACCTCTCATCTAAATGCAACCTCAAGCAAAGCCGCAAAAAGGCACCAGATGAGAGCAGCAGCAGGATGCAGGGACACTTGAGCAAAGAAAAGGTGTCTCTGAAGAAAGCTTGTAAATTGAAGCTTTTGGGTGCTCCCAGTATCAAGAAGCAGACAGCTGTGGAGAAGAGTAATAAACATACATCTCAGAGTGGGAAGGCAAAGAAATCAGTTGATGCACAGCCTAGGAAAAGGAAGCTTCCTACCCAGAAGAGCAAAGCAAACCCCTCTCTGAAGGCTTCCCTGTCTTCCAGGCAAGAAGGCCTTGCTAAGCCTGTGAAGCCAAAAGTCACACGGGACTCCTCCAGTCGGTCTCTTAAAGTGCCTGCTAAAAAGGCAAACAGCAGCAAAGCTCTGACTAGGTCAGTCAAAAGCATTCAGGAGAGCAAAAAAGCCCAAAGCAAGAGGAGGCTGAGGGCCAAAAAAGACTCCTCACCCAGCAAGCGCAGGCGTCTGGATGCAAAGTAACAGGCTTTGCTTGGAGATGAGGAACCCTTCCTCATGCATTAAGTATAATTATTTCTGAATATGGGGGGGAGGGCAAGTATATAGCTAAAGGCAAGCTCCCTCTTCTCCATTTTTAGGAGTCCCCTAGCTGTGTTGCAGCTGTAGAGGGTACCTTTCTTTGCTTCTGAGAAGGGAAGTTACTGCTTCCTAGTGTTGAACTGGGAGCTAAGCAGTTTCAGTTCAAAGTACAGTGCCTTATTTATCCTTTAGGAAATAAATAAATTAGTCTCTGTGTTTTTAAGGCTGGCAGTTTATAGTTAATGCACAAGCACTTGTACTGTAATTGAAAGAGAACTACCTTTCATGCACATCCTATAGACCTTGGCAGCCCTTCTGCTGGGGTACAAACAGGAGCCTTTTCTTCCTGTTGTGTGTTGTAGCATCCTGGCACTGTTTGATCTGAACAGGGCATTATGAAGCCAAAACCCAAAGTATTTTTGTCCTTTAATGTTACTCTTTACGAGCAGGTCAGGATGGTGAATTTTGTTAAGGTGTTTACCATTGTCCACCTTTTATAACTTTGGGATCTGTGGATTGGCTCTAACATAGTCTGTCTCTTGTGTAAAAAATACTGTTTCTGCAGTGTCTGCAATGACTGGCAGCAATGCTTGATCAATTTTACCTGTATAAGAGAGGAGTTGGTCCCACTGTTTGGATAGAGACCTCTCTCAGTCCATGCACATTGCTCTTTACAGATGCATTGAAATGCAGCTTGAATGCATTTCAGCATATATTCCTGCCTAATTTACTGTGAGACCCTTATTTGGAATACCCCCAAAAGATGATTGGCAGAATCCACATGTCAGCAGTGAAATTGATGGGTGTGCAACCATTCTAATTGCATGGATTTTAAGAGGTGGGTCTCATGATAGAATGTCTGTAAAAAGTAATGATGGAACATGCCCCTAGTAAGGCATCCACTTTTTAACTTTTTTCTGTGCAGTTGCCGGGAGTCCCTTTTCCATAGCTTTCTGTCCTAGAGAAATTAAAGCAAAAACAGCAACACTGGCTGTGAAGGAAGTTGCCACTGGACGTATGTGGTGCTGTCACGTGCGTGCGGTGGTCGCAGCTTGCTATGAAGCAAAATTATGCTTTGCCTTGCTGTATACAGTCTGGCTCTCCAAATACGCATTGGTGTTTCACACAACTTGTCTGGACTTGCTTTCCAAGTTGAATCAATATGTAATGTACACATCAAGCCATCTCTCTTCAGACAAGATACTCCTATGAAAGCCTATTAGAAATGCAAATATTCCCCTTCTCCGTACAAACATTTGATTTGGCTGCAACAAGAGGGGACAGGGACACAGCATTTCCTTAGAGGAAATGTCCTGTCTGCACACTCTATGTGACCCATCTGTTGGGTGGCCGTGCTTGCTTCCGCTCTGGGGCTGGGGAGAAGAGACGAGGGGCTCAGCCTTTTATTTATTTCTGTAATTTCTCTTTAAGCCACAACGAAGGTAGAGCTGTTTGGTTAGAAACTTGTGCAAAGTTCCTTGCATTTGCTGCACGTGGCACCCAAGAGCTTCCTGTGAAAGCCTTCAAATTGCTTGACCTTTCAGAATAGCTTTCCATGGATACCATCTGAGATCGACGTACTCAAACATTATTATATTAACTGGCTTGAACCAGTCTTTCCAGTTTCTGAGGGATTTATTGAATAAAAGGAAAGGCAAACTCTTCAGGGAGTGTGAGGAAATTGATTTTTTTATTTAAAGGAGGGAGGGTGCATTAGCATTGGCACTCCTATACCAAAGCTCATTACTGCAGGCAGAAAACAGATAACTAGCTGTGTAGTATTTTCATTGATCAAAGAGGTTGGAATTCAGCGTCTGAAAAATGCAAAGCCCTCCTGCTCACCCACCTAAGTCTGTGGCTTGAGAGGGTGTACTAAAGCTATAAGACACATCAGGGTGAACTCTTTTTTTATGGAATACTTTTAAATCATTGAATTTTAACTTCTACGTTGTCGTTTAAATCATGATGTATAAAAATAATTGTTGTAAGCATTAAGTCAAGCTTAGAATTCTCTGTAAAGTTTGATATGGATTGCTGTTTAACTGTGGATATCAAATGTACTAGACATTCCATCAGGAGTATTAGAGATATTTAAGGAAGTGTGTGAGCATGTATGTGTGTGTGAGAGAGGGGCAAACGTGCCAGAGTTTTGCCACTCCTTTTTCCAACTTTACATGCCTCTATCCACAGAGATGTGTAAATTTTCCTGCTCCTTCTACCCAGGGCTGCTTCCTAACAAAATGCTGGGTGATTGGGGCACCTTGTGGTACTTTCAGCTAGTGATTCTGATCCAGACACCTGTTAATAAAATCTTTGTACAACTTTCTGCTGTCCCATTTCTTGTGTGGCTTGTCTAAAATAACTCCTTTATAACTCTGTGTTATATAGCTAACCTTCACACTTGCCCTAGTTCTTTGAAACCTGCTGGCTGTATATGCAAGGCTGCCTGAGTATGTGAGGTTGGAATACAGTTGCCAGCCCTGCAAAGTTGCCGTAGTCCTCCTAGTATTGCCTCATGTTTTGGTCCAGCTGCTGCCCACTATTCTTTTGGGAAGGGCATGTGACCCTAGGTTCAGGCACTAGTGGCTTGTGGGACAAGCCTTTCCATTGGACTAGTGTAGCTGCAAGATATGGAGAGGGAAGTGATGGTTCAAATAGCACAACAGGGTTTAGAATTCTTGTTTTAACCAACTTTGAGTTAAAGTTTCTGGTTGGAAGGCGTTTCTCAGGCTGTCCCTGTGTGTCAGCCCTGATCATATGCAAGTGGCTCTCAGTCACTGCCATACCAGGCAGAAATGCTGTCCTGTCACATTTTTAATGAACTGCAAATGGACTGTTCCCTTCTTGCAATTCGCCGCAACCCATCTCTTCCTTTTAGGATAATTATCATGTGTCTCCTAGTCCTTTCAATAGAAACAGCTTTGCAATCCAGCCAGGCTTGTGGCTGGATTGGGTTCTTCTCTCTGGACTGTAAGGACTCAGTGAGCCTGTGCCCTGCATCCTTTCCAATAATTTCTTAGCATGTAGCATTTTCTTTGTCATGCATTGACCCATAAATTCAGTCTTGCCCTAACCACTGCTGCAGAAGGAAGGAACACGTGCTTTTCAGAATTACTGGTATCTGTAACACAATTGTTGGAGTTCGATGTTATGAACTACTTCAGCCACTTGCTTGGACTTGTTGAAACTCTTGGAAAAGAATGACAGGTCTGCAGGGAGTGACTATGCTGTTCCTTGTAATACACCTATCGAGCATGTTGTCAAGAAAAAGTGCTCAGGTTTTTGGACCTCCATCCATAGCTATCTTTCTGCCCCAGAATCTTGAGTCTTATTGCCAGGTCTAAAAGAATAGAGTCAGTTTAGTCATTCTAGTTTCCATGTCCTGGGTAGAAACAGGTTGTTGGCCTTCCTTATTTCTTAAGGCAGCCTCCATACCATTTTACTTCCATGAAAATGAGCGTGTTATCACTGTTTTGCAGCTGTTCCTTTATTGTGAGTGAAGGATATTCTCATGCCCCTTGGTAGTGGGATCGTAGCCCTCCTTGGAGATAATTATTAGTTGCTCTGCCATTAATTATACATTGATACACTTAATTGGCTTGCCTTTCCATTGAATTATTCCTGTTGCCTGTATTGTATAGCTATGTAATCTCTAACTCCAGCCCATTTGCTTCCTCTGATCACTGAAATAAATTCAGCATTCTTTCCAGAGCCCGTGCTTCCGTTTTCATGCTTCCGTTCTCCCCCTGTAGCCTGGGTCTTGGTCAAACTCTTGGTATTCTTCTGCTGTAGGTTGGACATATTGCCTCTTTTGGTAGCTTTCAATGAAGGCTACCTCATTTTTCATTTGTGGGACAAACACAACTCCTGTACATAAAATCAAGTATTACTAATGCACAGATTCAGACATATATTTGTATCACCCAGAACAGGTTCTGATGCTCAGAATAGCTGGGTGGTTGATCTTGTAAGAGTGCAATGTACGGCTATTTTTTACCACTGAAAGGACTATCAACATGTGTATACTTGTTTTAAAAATACACATGCCGCCCTTTTCAGGGCTCTTTCTGCAGAATATTTCAGCCATGCAAGCAGCTAAACGTTTATCATCATCATCATCATCAGCGGGGACTTCTGTTCTTGACCAGTATGAAGCACAGCTGAGCAATGAGGAATTGTGCTAAAGGGAAACAATATATATGAAAAAGGATTTCATTAAATCTTTGGCTGACTCTTAAAATGTACTTTAAATAAAACTGTCCTCTTTCTGCCTCTGTCCCCCAGTTTCCACATGCTCATCAAATGCAAACAAATATGCAGAAAGCTACGAGCAAGCCAGCGAGTGGGTTACAGATCAGTGTTAACCATCATCTCTGTCCTTGGCTAGCATTCAACCTTTAACTGCCGCTGTCCCCTAGACCCTTGTTCTAGCTCTGCCTCACTGTTTAGTGGAAGCAACAATGGAGCCGTCTGGTTCCTTTAGAAAGGCCTATATTTCATCATGGCTTGTTTTTTTAAGGAACTGCTGGTCCAACCTTTTCAGGCTGCTTGACAAATGATATATTTTCTGCCTAGAAGTAATGGTCCTGTTTCATCTTTCTGCTATGGATAATTATGGCAAAATAGAAACTTGCATACATGCTGATGTAAATCACCCTGAGCTTTCTTGATGCTTTCCTGAAGTCCTGTTTCTATTGTACTGTTTGCATTTAGCTAGATAGCTGCGAATTGCACCATCCATCCTAAAATGATCTCAGGAGTTCTGCTTTGCATTGAGAGGTAGCTCTGTTGTCTTCTTAAAACCTTTCCCTTTTGAACTGTTGCTATCAATACTTGCTTTTCAGAATAGTGAAAATGAATGGAGTCTGAATGGTTTTTGTTGTTTGTGTGTGACCTTTTACCTTTGTGGGTCTTTTTTTACACTGTAATGCTATCAAGGATTTTCTATGGATCTGTTTTTTTGTGTATTACTTTGAAATGCAATGTGAATCTATACATATCTGTATATGTGTACAAATATATATATATACACACACACACTTATATACATACATACATACATAAATAATAGATGCTGTGTTAACATAGCATCCAGCTAGTGGTTGAAATGCTTTCCTAGGTGCAGGGTAAATACTGCCTTGTTTCTCTGGGCAGTCATACAAATAGAATAATATTGTAAATAGTTTTAAAATATTTATTTCCTGTACTTTGTGCTAATGAGTTTTGGGAGTGCTATTGATTTGCTGTGTAGTAAGGTTAGGGTCTTATTGCAAATAACATTGGATGCAGGGAGGAGGACTAGCATTTGGTCTGGAATTTATGCTGCAGATGTAAGGTTCTAGTTCTCACTGAGGTGACATGGTAGAGCTGAAGGACTCACATGATTGACTTACTGTTTTACAAAATTCTTCTGCATGCACAACTAAGTATTAACAAGAACGATAGTACTTAGCCACCCTGATGTGCTTGATTTCTGTGTGCATGATACATTTTTGTATGGAGGAGCATTCAATCATGTGAGCTCTCACCTGAAGTGGAAACAGAAGAGACACACGTTTGCCACCTTAATGAGATCTAGCTTAAGTGAACTTAACGCATTATATATACTTTTTTTTCATTTTCTGTGGGTTAAAATTCCCAGCTTTTGTGTGCAGTTCTGGGTAAACTGTCCAAACATGTGCACCTTTGGGTACAGCATATGTGAGCAATAAGAATTGTAGTAATGTTTTGATGATAAAATCCTAAATTCTGGAGAATGGTTGTCTGCATGTCTTCTTAAATTGTGCTTTTCTTCAGTGGCCTTGCCACAAAGAGAAAGGGAAAGCTGATGTTTCAGCTTCTCTGCATACTTATGCACCATTGCAGGAAATACCTAGGTCATAGGTCAAACCTAGAAAAAGTGTGTCCACTGGGCAGGTGGACTCAGGGATCCCTTACTGGGAATGGTATAGTGGAAATGCCAGTGGCACACACATCAAGTCATTTGCAGCTGACTCTTGTCACCAAGCCACATGCTGTGTGCTTGATGCTTCCAGTGTTTGTCAATCTTAAAAGATCCAGGTGATACTTCACCACACCCAAGTTCCCCACTGCTGTGCAGAGTTCATTGTCCTGTTTATCTTTTTATTTGGGTTCGTTTTCTGTGTCTGTCTGAATTTTTCTTTTCATTTGGATCATGGATGCTTGTCTATTTTCTGTCTCACTGGATACTCCCCATGTTATGCTTTTAGGTTGCCATTCTCTTTTATTTGTGATTTTATAAAGACTTTTGTTTTTGTTGAAGATTGGCTTGTGTGGAAATTCCTATGTGATCATTCCCAGGGGTTGTCTCTTAGCCATTCAGCATCCATATCCCATCAGTACTCTTTTCTAGAAATTTGAATAATAATTTGAAAATCCAACTATTTTCAAATAATTCTTGTCCTGCCTCCTTTTGCCATCAAAAAAAAAATAACTCCTACTTTTATTTGTTATAAAAATCTTCAGTTCTCAAGTTTATGATGAGGATGTGATGGAGGAAGCTTCATTTCAGCTTCACTGAAATCAGTGTCTTGTCAAGGGCATATCTGAAGTCTTGGGATAAACTCCTGCCCAGTTGAGTAGGCATTCAAACAACTTAGAGATGTCTGGCAATCCCTAGTATTCCCTGCATTGCTCTATAGTTGCTTTATTCTTCACTCAACGCTTCTTCTAATTGCCTTGCTAATTTAGTCCTTTTTAGCCCATCAGAAGAACCGCATTTTGGGAATTCCTTTCTCTGTCCTCACTGGCTGATACACATTTTCCACCAGTCTGGTACTGTGCACATCATCCTAACCTAGTGTGTGGTCATGAGTAGTCTTTCAGAAGGCTTCTCTTGGAATCTACTGGCTTTCTCTTTGGGGCACTGGGAAATGCTGTGATTTTAGAGAAAGAACATGTCAGCTGTGAATTGTTGGTAAAATGTGTTGCTAGATAATTTTATATACCTCACCTGAAGAACATATGAAAATGTATATAAAGATTGTACTCAGTTGCCTTCCAACCATTTAGCATATCTACAACAGTTAGGGCTATTTTGCCAATGGAAAATGTATCAAATCCATGATTGTTTGTGACAACTTCATGCTTTGTATTTTATTTCCTTGACTAACCCATGGAAAGCAATGTGCTCTTGTTACTGATCTTGAGGCCCTGGTGAGATTTAGACCTTTTTCTTTTACCCCTTTCCATGCATCTTTCTCCCCTATGTATCCTGTGTGCTCAAAGAGTTTTATTTCAGCTTATTAAACATTTCTTTTATATCAGCGCTGGTGTGGTGTGCTACAGTTTAACATGAAAGTCCTCAAACCATTCAGGTGCAGAACATTGGAGAATATGTTCTGCCCTGCACTTGATATTTTTTCTAACCGTGAATGTCAAGGCCAGATTACTGAGTAAGCTAACAAAGCAACTTACAATTCTCATACTACAGTGTTGATGCAGGGGACTAAGGAACAAAAGGATTTGGAGTATTCTGTTAGCTGCTGTTCCACTCTCAGTGTTGACTCTAACTTGGCCAATGGGAGACATGAAAGAATCCCTTTAAAGTTAGGTTGGGAACTTTGGCTTCTATGGATTACTATGCCTTTAGCAAAAGGGTAACAATACAGTGGCCCTCTGTGGTGATCATTCCCTGCACCCATGTGAAGACCAGGTTCGCAGGTCAACCCTCCTGTTTGTTTAATGTTTATATGCTGCCCCATTCCCATAGCCTCTGCAAGGTTTGCAAAAGCACTGTTTTGTACTGCTTTGCTGCGAAAGCAGAAGCATGCTTTGATGGCTGAATTCTCCTGTCCCTTTTTGTTGTTTTATAGCTCAGTGCTCCTTCCCTAATTGACTCACTACTTTGTATTTGACTTCTAGAGCATCTGCCAGGTGTGCTGCTGCTGCTTTCCACGTTTTAGCCTGAGGAGCTGTGGAGGCTAGAGCCTGCAGCAGTATTGTTAGTGCAGTATATTCACTCAGGTTTCAGACAGAATTTTTAAGCAGGTTTCTATGGCAGTGGACCCTCTCTGCCCAATAGGTTCAGCAGCATGGGCAGCTTCTTTCGAGTTAAGCTGAAAACTGTAGTGGATGCACCTCCCCACTGACATTGGAGTCACTAGGCAATGCTGCCTTGAAGCTTTACATAGTACTTGCCTTAGAGCCTCATATTCGCTAAGAGCTCCCTGTAATTTAGCTCTCCTGAGCAAGCCTCTTTCATTTGAGATACAGGAAGAATCTGTTGCAAAGCCAAGTGCCACTTAAGAGCTCAAACGCAAGCCACAAATGGGTCCAGCTACCTCCAGCTGGTAGAACACCATTCCCACTCCAGTGTGCACTTGATCTAAAAGACCCAATGCCCGCGTTGGTGTAATAGAATAATGTGACCTTTTACAGGAGTACAGAGTAAAAACACGATGTGACTTTTGGCATCCAGTCAAATTTATATGGTGATAATGACTTGCGTCTGTGTGCTGCGTATTATTTGCTAATCTGAAGCTTTAACAAGTATGTCAAGCATTTCCCTTAAGAGCTGCTGTAAGAATGATGGTGGAGAGCCACATTCTTGCCTCAAACATAAATATTAGGGTAGCAATCCAGATTTTCCCATCTTTGTGTACATTTTTACAAACTTTACTTGAAAAGCCATTATGAGTTTTGTCACTTTAAGGTAAGAACATAAATGAGTATTAAATGATACTGAAGTAAATACACTTGTTCCCTTGACCCAAGCAATGCAATTCTGAATGCTGGAAATACTTGCATGGATGTATCTGTCACACTGTCCGTGAAGCAAAAGCAGGCACCTTTTAAGCTTGGTAACGAGTACAGACCTGAAGGAGATGTCTGCATCTTTTGATGACCTAAAAATGTTCTCCAAATAAGTGCCAAGACTTATAGAAAGATGCAGCCAAGTTTCATTCTCTTATTCCATTCTGAGAAAATGAACCACAGGTTTCGTTCAGGTTGTCATTCTGAGAAAGGGAGGCATCCACGTGTTATTTTGCTATGGGAAAAAGACGAGACCAGTCTGATGGCTCTAGCACAATGTCATGTACACAAGGAAAATGCCATGAACAGCATTTTTAAAATTTAAAATGATACTTCTGTTTCTAAAGAAAGGCAATCATGAGAAACCTCACTGATGTATCTTAAGTCCACCTCCTTAAAAGGGTGGCAAGAATAACTAGTCCCCGTTAGCAAAAATGTTGATTTGAAACACATGGGATGGGAAGCACCTGCCAACCAGATACACTATTTAACATCCTTACAGCATAAATTAATACCATCCTAATTATAAATTTACAAAAACAGTATAAGTACTCTGTATAAAAAGATAGTTTTAACAGCCTATAACAGGCACAAAGGGACATTTCATGCAATCACCTGTTTCTCTCTCAGCTGCCCCTCGATGTGGCACTGGCAGAATTGTTTTGATGGTGCCCTCTGGGTACCAAAAGAGTCATTTTCTGTAGTGCTGATCAAAAACACACTTGATACAATCTTCATTCAGGTGCCAAGATAAGTGGAACGTGTTGCTACTTGTACGTGAGCCACCATTGTACCAGACATCAATGTGAATCAGGCAGAAGTGTGCCATCGTGGAACAGCAAGCACCTTGCATACATGCCTGCTGATGAGTTGTTTGGAAGAGAGCCAGCATTAGTGATATGAAGATCTAATTGAAACGAAAAGCAATCACCCAGACCTATTTTGCGTTGAGGAACTTGGCAGCCCAGAGAGTACCACATAACACATGCCTTGAGTGTGAATAGAGCTGGTGCTACTTAGCTGGCATATGACATGCTTGGAACAGTTAAAATGAGTCAACTACCAAGGGAACAACTGGACAAAATTATTTTGAATGTGTACCTCTGTTCATGTGTGTTAGAAAGTGCTGTTAACAAGCCATTTGCTTTGAATTCCAGCTTTTAAAATGGAAGTGTATATTTTGGTACTCTGTTACTAATGTACTTTGGAGTTCAAATTTGCAAGTATGAAGCTGAAGTTAATTTTGGTTGGAATGAACATTTAAAATTCAACCATTGCCATCTGTGGTACAGAGCTATCCAAGCATTATCCAAGGTAATGCCCAAGTATATACTTAAGTTGCAGATGCAAAGTAAAAATTCAGACAGACAAATATTTGCAGGTTGGTTAGTGTAATTGCTATTATTGGAAACGTGAAGTCTTAAAAAAATTCAAAAACCTAATTAGTTTATTTTGTGTAATTGTAACTCATTTAGGAACCTTACAAATGGAAGTTTAAAAGCTGCACATTCTCAGTGGGAAGAAAATACATTTCACATTTGGGAGTTTCTATAATAAATAGAAATGGAAAATACTTCAATGGTAAAACCAGAGAGGTGGCAGGTTAACCTCTGTAAATCATCTTATATGCAGATTTGATCTTGCTTCTCTGCCATGCTTGTCAACAAGCATTTCTGGCCTGAAAGCTCTTAGTTCTAGAAGAGTCCCCCTTAATTCCACTTACCCACTGCCTCTTCACTTGTGGCAGTGGCACAGTTAGCAGGCAAGCAGGACTGATACATACACACAGGCAAGTACAAGGCAGAGGGATGGTAACTGCAAAGGCCTCTTCAACCAGTCACCGTTCTTATGTAGGAACAGTGTGTATTTGAGAGCATGTTCTTCTTTGTGGTCTCTGAGCATCACACACGTGTTCTGCACCTGTGTGGAGCCTGAAGTTGGAAAGACTTATTAGCCAAGGGTGTTTTGACAAAAACTCACCCATCTGGCATCTGTTTTAAAAGGGAGGTGTTCCCCTCCTTTCCCTCAGTTCTTCAACTGCCTGCAGTGCTTTTAAGTTCTTTTCTCCCTTTCTTGTGAGCTGTTCAGCAGTTTTCTCACCCTTCACAATTCTCTCTGTAAAGCCATTTTCCTCCTTGCATGTTTTCCTTTCCTTTCCAGACATCTAAATGATTTTTCCCTATCCTGCAACCATGCGCAGCTCATCTATTCCCAGTCTCGATCCTCTCTGTTCTTATTGTCTCCCTTGCAATGGCATCACAGGGTCTCTTCCACAAGTGCATGAGGTTGGCACCAAATCGCTGTCTTCCTGATGCCTTCTGTGGTTGGGTGAAGGTCACATGGTGGACCAGTGCCCTCACTGTCAACCATTCATGGAGTAGGTGAGAAAGTATTGCACTTACCATTGCTGGCTGGAATTTTGGAATAAAGCTCTTGGAGCAGTGAATACTTCACACCTGCCAGAGCAACCTCATTCATCAACTTGTTTCCATGTCCTTGCCACAGTCCATGCCTCCTGTGACAAATGCCCTGATCATGGGCCAGTCACTGCTGCCAATGCCAGGGAGGTCCTCAATGCTGAGGAAGGCAAATAAAATGGCCAAGGAGGCAAAGTCTGCAGAGTCTTGGCTGCCATGGAGCTGTCCGCCCAGGATGGACTGGAGCTGAAGCCAGTATGGAGGACTCCAGCTCAGTCTCCGTGTAGGAAAAGGAGATTCAAGAAATACTACGTGCATGAGCCCCCTCCGAGACTCCAGTTCTGAGATAGCTATCCATGCCATCACCAGCATGACTCCATGTGAAACCCATTGGGACCATCTGATGAAGAGAATGTCCCTGATCTTGGACTGAGATGGGGATCTACATACATACGGTTTTACAATCCATGGGCCACCAAGGGTGCTCATGCATCTTGTTCCAGTGCAGCCTAAAAATGTCATGCTTCTGTGCTTACTTGGTAGCAATTGCTTCCTTCCACAACATGATCCAGAGTGCATCAATTTTCTCACACCCCTTGAGTAGGCAATTTCTTCAGGTACTGAAAAACATCATTCCACCTGTTCGGACAGTGACATTGGAATGGAGTCTGCTTGTCATGCTTCAGGCTCTGATAAGAAAACCTTTCAAACCCATGGCTACTACCAACCTCTGTTATCCTAGAAGGTGGCTTTCTTGGTGGTGACAATCCAATGAATTGTGTGCCCTATATGTTGATCCTCCATACCTTGTCCCTCATAGGGACAAGCTGATGTTATGCCTAGATCCTTCCTTCCCTCACAAGAGCATTTCTCTATTTCATTTAAACCAGGACAGCAATTTGTCAACCTTCTTTGCTTTCTACTCCAACCTTATGGAGTTTACTTTGCACATTCTGGACATTGTACAGCGCTGCCATTCTAGTGGTCCAGAACTGAATTGCTCTATCAGACACACAAGCTATTTATTAGCAGTGGGGGCAAAAGCAAGGGGCAGACCTGATTTGCAGCTTTGGTGGTAAGGACAATTTTATTGCAGGAGTGCAACTTTCAGTTTATCCCAAAGCCCCTTTTGACCAAGGCAGTGATCCTCTGCCAGACTCTACAAAGTGATGACTTGGTCAACTCCCGATGTCTTTGCAAAGCATTTCAGACTCAACATTCGCACCAGGGCAGACTGCTTTCAGGAGAGCAGTCCTCTCATCGATAATTCAATATATAATATGGTCCCAGCATCCAGGAATGGGTAAGCTTGCTAGTGGCCAATATGTGTGATGCACAGAGACCATGATGAAGAAAGGTAGGCTGTGACCTGTAACTTTCGTTCTTTGAGTGGTCATCTGTGCATCCATACAAACCATTCATAGACCCCACCTGGTGTTGTATGCAAACTTCTTTCCTTTCAGAACTGTTCTGACTTGGACCAAGTTGAGGTCTGTCATATTGATTCTCCTCAGTCCTGAGGCCACCTGAGAGGTCCCATATGAATGAAGGGAAAGGGCAGGAACTCCTCCCTTTTATAACAGATGTTTGGATGGGTGAAGCTCTTCTGCCATAATGCTCTGAGCTAGGAAGTCTTCCTGACAACTGGCTCCATACAAGCACAGAGTCTATAAGTGTGAATGCACAGATGACCACTCAAAGAATGACAGTTACAGGTAAGCCTTTCTGCCTTTATTGGGCTTATAAGAATCCTTTCCTTTCCTTAGCACTTGGTAATTTTCTGAAAGCACCCACCAGTAAAACACCTTCCTCACTTGTATCCCACTTGGTGAAACTGAAATCTAGTGTATAATTTGGGCAAGAAAGCTGCAACCTTTTGAGTATTACTCTCACATGTCCTCAACTGGAGTCCTGGAGCTACCTTTCCAGTAGAACCTTTTGTAGGAAGCATGATCCATAGCCTGAAGCAACAAACATCTGGTTGAGGCAGCTGAGGTTGCCCTGGAAACAAGAATAGGTAGAGTCAAGGACTCAAAGCTAACTCCAGAAATTGTATGGTCTGTCTGTGAGTGGAGCCTTGCAGGGCTACTGCATTAGAATTTGCAGCATCTTGGGAACCTTAGCTTTTGCTTTTTTGCATAAAGGTGTTTCAGACCTTCAAAATTGCCTGCATGCTTCAAACCCTGTCTCATAAAGACTCAAAAGTTGTGCCTGGGTTTCTAGTAGTCAGGTTTGATGTATTTGTTCATCCCTCCTGACCAGCAGAAAAAGATTATGCAAATAACCTTCAAATGTGCTTGATTTACATAATTTAGAAAGGTCACACATTCAGCTTTACTTGTGTAGAATTTAGCTTGCATCAGTGAAGAAATCTGTTTTCCTGTTGCTGTTTAAAGTTACTGGTGTCACTTCTAAGAAATGCAAATTGAACTCTGCCTCTGGTGGAAGTTGGCACCAAAGCTTCTTTAACCAACTTGCAGCTCTTGCATCCACTGTAAGGACAGCAGAAGAACCCTTATATCAAACAGGGATTTTGAGAACCAGAAAGAGGAGACACTGTTGGCCTGGATATTAGAGATCTTATTCTCTTTGAAATCATGGCCCACATAGGTGGTATTTTACCAGAATATGATCTTGTACTGTAGAAAGATGGTGGCTGAACCAGACCTAATCTCCTTGTCCCATCCAGCAGAATCACAGTGGGAATCAGTCAAGGTTCCTCCAGCTTTAATGCAAGTAGATCTTTACTCAGAGTATGTCAGATGTTTACTCAGAACGTAGGTCCCTCTGTGTTCAACAGGGCTTGATCCCAGGTGAGTAAGCATAACATTGCAAGCTAAGGCAAATGGTTACATTTCTGGTAACACCAGTGCCTCAGCCAGCCCTTGGCTTCTTCATCTGAACAGGTGAAGGCAGAGCTGAGCATAATGCCCACCTTGCAGCCACACAATTAAGCTGTTTTTATACCTTACTAACTTCTGGTCAACAGGTTCTTGGAGGCAGCTCTTCATGCAATCCTTTCCCAGTCTCCTAAATTATTTTCTTGTCTAATTTCATACAACACACCAGTTCTGCCTTTCCCTCTGACTGCTGTCTTTGCATTATTTGCAATTTATCCCCATGAACAGCAGATAAAGTTGCAGTGATCAGGGAACAAGAGTGCCTACTCAGGAAAAGGAAAAGCAAAATTGCCCAAGGTAGGAAAGTGGGCATGGTGCTGACTGGCAGGCTCCAACACCAGGTACAATGACAAGGTTGAACTGGTTCGATCCTGTGCCTGGTCCCTCAGGCCAAACAAACAGGCATGGCCACACCTGCTAAGAATCCATACTGTGTACAAGCAATGGCCCCAGAAGGAGTCTGTGCTGGGTATATAAATACATCTGGTTGGCTGGGTTTGCCAACAGAAGTCTTCTATCTACACATTGGTCTGGTCCATCCAGAAGAACTGCTGTCCCCATGCCAAAGGAGCTGCTCAGCTGCCACACCAAGCTCCTTACCCCACCCCTCTCCCAAGCAGCAACAGGGGCAGATAGCCAGTTAGTTCCCAAGGCCTCAAATGGGCCAAGCCTGGTCCAATGCCTTTCGGTTCTGGCCCGTCCCTTGCTGGAGGCTACATGCACTGGGAACAGCCACATTTGCTGGGTTTTTCCACCTCCTCCACAAAGGAAGAGCCATCACTGCACTCGTAGGTGTATTTCCTGCGCTTGAGACGCAGTCCTGCACAGCAGCCTGATACTGGGCATGATCCCCGGCACTCCACCCAGGCGACAGGGCGTGTTGTCTGGCAGATGGTGTAGCCTCGCTGGACCTGGTGGAAATCACGCACAGCCTCTCCCCGACACTCTGACTCTGTGGAAAACAGTAGAAAGGGAGAACTCAGCCTTGGGCTTCTTGAGTTGCCAATGGCATGCAAGAGCGTTATTATCCTGTGTACTTAGTTTGAGGAATTCTTGTGAAGACCAGCTAAAACAATCAGGCATTCCAATACCTATAAATGCACAGTTGCAAATGGCCTTGTCTTCTTGGAGTCTTAAATTGTTAGGAACTGGCAAACAGGGCGAGATGGACATTTATTTCTGCCCCGAAGGCTTGATTGGCTGGGGTGTTCTACAAAAATGGTTGTGCAATCTTCCAGTGGAAGGACGGAGAAGGCAGAGTAGCAGTTGGCAGCAAAGAACCACTTTGGACTCAATGAAAAAAGGGAAGAACATGACTGCTATATAACTGCAAGATGCAGCTCTGTTGCTTATGCCCCCATAATCAAAGTTACGTCCACTGGCTCAAAGAAGGGTATGCCAAGGGTAGCTTTTGAGGGATGTGGCTTTCACTGGCTGCTGCTGTGGTCATAGTTGTAGGATGCTGGGACAAGAGAAGACATTTCCCGAACAAGAGACATTTCTCCACTAGCAGGAAATGAGATCAATAGATGCTAGAAAACTGACTGCGGGAGCAGGCTGGGAGGAAGCGACATCCAAGACAGCCGTGGCTGGGACTTCTGCCACCCACAGTGGAAATGTCTGGGTTAATGGGATACTCCCCTCACCGGCTGGGGCCTAAGCGCTTGAACAGAGGAGCAAGGGTTCCCTGAAGAGTCCTTAACGGTGGACCCTTGAGATTCTGCTGACCTTGGTCACAGAGGTCCCCATCGAATCCCCCGTTGCATTCACAGTAGGCCTCTCCTGTGTCCGAGATCTGGCACTGGCCATGAACGCACTGCAAGCTCTTGCATGGGTTGTGCAGCTCCCCTTGCTGGTTGCATAAAGCCCCCTTGTAACCATCCTGGCACTGGCAGCTGTAGGAGAGCGCATCCAGGGGCACACAGGTTCCATGGACACACCTGCAGGTGGGACAGAAAGCCTCTGTCATCCTGTGTCACTGGCAGCTAAAAGACCCACACACCTTCCTGTTGGACTTTTCCCTGGGAAGAATCTGCATGGCCTCTGTCTTAGCCATCACTGAAGAGCTTTGCTAGGGAAGAAATGACTGTGAAGTCCAGCAGTTTAGCACAGGTGCACTGGGGGGGGGGGTAGAGGGGGGGAAAGGAGCACACCAGCTGCCTCCTCCAGCACCCTCTTAGGTAGTCTGCACCCTGTACCACATTTCTGCCAGAAAGGTTCGAGCAAGTCTGCCCGACTTCCCTTACCCTTCAAAGCAAAGTGCAGGCTGAAGTCACAAAAGAACAACTTTCATTCTGAGGCAGGTTTAATGGTTAGCGTGAAAGAGCAGATTCAGTACTAATGGCTGTTTTTTGCTTGTTTGCATCTGTTCTTATTTACTGCGTTCCCCATCCCATACCCCAGTGGTGGGCTTCCAAGGCAGCTAATTCAGGCTTTGCTGCCTTCGCTCATCAGAGATGAGCAAGCAGAAGAGAAAAAATACTGCCAGTCAGAATACTACACAAAGATATGGATGCAGTTTCAGCCACATTTATGAACCCAGGAAGCGGCCTTATGCTACTTCATACTATACCTGTCCATCTAGCCCAGCACAGCTGTCTCTGACCAGCACTGGCAATCCATGGTCGCAGACAGAAAACTTGCACATCTGTACCTGCCTCATTCTTTTAAATTGAAGATACCAGGAATTGAACCTGGAGCCTTCTACATCCAAAGCATGTGCTCTGCCTAAGAGCTCTAGTCCCACCATACACTCATGGTGTCCTAGCCTGCATCCTGTACACAGCGGCAAGACCCGCAACCCACAAACAAGAACTAGGTGAAGGAAGAGAACTCTGGTGACCTTATATACTCACTTGTGCCCCTGGCAGGGATTGCTAACAGGCTGGTCACAGTGGGGCCCAACCCAGCCCGGATCACAGTGGCAGATGGGACCATGAGCAGTGTTGGGCTGGCAAATCCCATGCAGGCAGTAGAGTTTACGGCAAGGCTCACAGCCAGGCACCACTCCTGGCTTCATCTGAGTCTTTGTAAAATCCTGCAGTTCATTGTTGATGTACAGATTGCGGATGCAGCCATGGAAGCTGGAGCCATTCAGGATCTGCCAGAGACGGAAGGCAGCAGAATTCACATCCACAGGCATTCCTGGTGGGGGAAAGCCATAGCAGCAAGGTCAGGAACACAAAGAGGAAGAGGAATCAAGGGTTCTGGGGAAAATGAGCTTGGCAGTCCCTAGCATAGCTTGTTGCAGGGACATGCTAAAGTCAGGGGGAACTTGTGGACCACATGCTGCAGTTTCCCTCCACCTCCCACTGGGTCTTTTTCTCTTCCTCCATTTTGCCCTTTGGACTTCCGTCCTCTGCAGTATGAGTTAAATTGCACCCTCCCTCCCTGGAGAGAAGAACAGAAGGATGAGATATGCTTGCATTATTACTGCCAAGTGACGATGGCAGAGGAAGTCGACTTAACAAAGAGTTAAAGAACCCTCAGACCAGATGGTGCCCCCCAGGTGCAGTTGCGCAAATGGGAGTAACAGGGAAGCCTCTCTCTCTCTCTCTTGGACAGAAACATTCCTTGCCCTCCACAACTGAACTGTGCTCGGCTCACAGTCCTACCGCCCACATAGAGTGGAGCCTCAGAGTTCAACGTATGGGCCTTGCCAAAGCCGTCCATCGTCATTGGGTCGCCTCCATCAATGGAGAGATTTACCATCCGCTCGAATGTCACCAGTTCCACTGTATGGAACTGCCCATCATTGATGGTCTCTGCACTAGAGAAAGAAGAGAGGTGTAGGATGGGAAAAACGGGCAGTCACCCCCTGTCTTGACATGACCTCCACAGCCCACCCAACATACAAGCTCAGTACCCAAGGTCAGTCTTCCCTTATGTTCTCTTCCAAGATTCCCCCTTTGACTGCTACATTAACCCTTAATTCAAATCATGGGACCACTATCCAAAGTCTAAGCGTCCCCCCCTCCCCATGGCTGATGTGCACGTTGCCAGGCCATCAGAAACAAAAGATTACACCAGGGCTGGGAGAAGCCAAGGGCTACCTGTAAATAGCAGAGCTGGGGTAGGTGCCCGGATCATAGCTGACACGCACGTGGCCTTGGTACAGCTCCACAGCCATGTGATCAGTGTCCCCATTATACAAAAGGATCCCGTTGTCTTCAGCTGTGGAGACCTGCAGAGTATGGCAGAGTGAAAAATAAGGGGCAGGAAAATGGTTCTTGTCATTCAGCCAGTTCTGCAAATGGCACAGATAAGGAGAGCAGACGCATGCCTGCTCCTGCATGGGTGGTTCGGCGGGTGGAGGCGGTGGCAGCCTGGTCACCAGCTCTTACCTGCAGGGTGATGTTAGCACTAGGCCAGTTTTGCAGGTCTGTGAACTGGAGGTATGTGTCCCTGTCCACAAAATTGACGCTCAGCAGCTTCTCGCATTTGGGTCCTCCAAAGCCAGGGAGGCACTGACATAAGGCACGGCTGCCGAGCTCCACACAGTTGGCGCCATTCTGGCACTCCGCCCTCTCACAGGGACTGGGCTGGAGGGAGCCACGAGGTGGGATCTCACAGAGCTGGCCACTAGGGTGAAACGAGCACATAGCAAGGCACACGCTGAGCAGGGTGCATTCAAGCAGAGCGCAAGAGCACAGCAGGCCACCTGGCAGAAGACGCTTTTTCGGGGCACTGCGTACTCTCCGCTTGCCACCCCCAGCATTTCCCCTCTCAAGAGGCTGAGCAAAATGTTCATGAAATCACACCTGCCTTTACATGTGGCTACATTTCCCCTCTTTCCTGTGCGTGAGTGGAGCTCCAATGAACTCCGCAGGGACGTTCAAGGGAGTGGGTGAAATACAAGAACTTCATGGATGGACAAGTCATAATGCAGTCTGTCCTAGAGACCCAAACTTACACAATCCATAACTCTTGCTCTCTCTGCTTCTTCCCCAGTAAAGAAAAACATGGGCCAGCTATAATCTTCCTAACTGCAGGACAGATCTGTGTCACGGACGTGTCATGAAAGTCAGATGAAAGGCTCAGGATCCCCATCCAGCAGCCACTGTGATGGACTTGGCGGGCAGAGATTCCCAGCAACCACATAAGTCTTACCAGAGCGCAACAAAAGAGAGAGGCCCTCTTCTGATCTCACAGGCACAGCAAAACCACTTGGGAGCAGCCAGGCTCCTAGGCTTAGTCACTATTTCATACTTTCTCCCACTTGCACTTGGGGGGATGAGAATCTCGCAGCACAGGATAGACCAAGGAGTTGAGTTTTTGCAGGAAGTTTGGCAGTGTGTGTGTGTGACTGCTGTATGTTCCTGGCCTTGACTCCATCTAACATCCTTACCTGTAGCCTCCAGTGCAAATGCAGGAATAACCGTTTGGCTCATCGAAGCATTTGGCATTGTTCTGGCACTGGTGGTCCAGGCAGTCGTCGTAGTCAACACTGCAGTTGTCCCCCACATAGCCAGGCATGCATTCACATCTGGAGGCAGGAGACAGACCCTCCTTGAGCTGGGCTGCCTCTCAGTCCAAAGGGCAGCAAAGCACACGCATGACTACAGTGAAGGATGGGTGCTTTCTCTACCTCCTTTAGCGGCCCTTCCTACCCTCCTTCCAATTCCATGCTTATCTAGAGTTCAAACCATTTCTCTCCCAGAGCTCTACCCCACACAGCTGCTGCACCACTCACTTGGGTCCCTCAGGGGTGGCCCTGCAGATGGCCTCATGCTGGCAGGGGCTGAGCTCAGGAGCACAGACATCCATCAACTGCTCACAGTAAGTCCCTGTGTGAAAGAGAGAAAAGGAGACAGAGGACCACTTACGCCTAATGCTCTCAGTGCTTAGCTTCATATCTGGGTGCGCCCAGCTCCCCCAAGGGAATGCAGGAGAGAAGACAGGGGTGGAAGGGCCGCTCTCACTCTCCTGGGCTTGCAGCTCCTTGACAGGATCAACTCATATAAGCTCAACTCAGCCCGCCAAGTGGAAATGTCTGAAATGTCTTCTGATACTGCCTCATGAAAAAGCCAAGCCACACACATGGGTGATGTGTGCTCTGCTCCATATTCTGCATCAGGGTAGTCATAAGATTCACCAGTAGGTGAATTCTGAGACACAAATAAGCAGAGTAATCTGCTTATTTTGCATAAATGATTCCATTTCCAGTGGGCATGAAGAATGGCAAGGAGGTATATAACTCACTGAAGCCTCTAGACTTGGGAAGTATAATTAGAGAAAAAAAGAATATGCCAGGAGATCTCCCAATAAGAAACCATCAACAAATTCATAAAAGGGGGCCTTCTGCCTTGCAGGCAAATTTGCATTGCAGGCAAATTCTGCAATAAGAATTAGTTTGGTGAAAGAAGACCTTCATGAGAAATATGGCTACTGCACTGCAGTATAAAATCCAAAAATCAGATTGTTGACGTTATTCTTATGAATGTCCTGTCTTCCATTTTGCTTATCTCCAAATTCAGCCCATTTGGTCCATTACTTTCTGTAATCAGTTTCATGAACGTTTAACTACCAGCTGGCTCATTGACTGCAAAGGTAATGAATCCTGGGCATTCCCAGACTTGTCTGGTGAAATGCTGGAACCCACAGAAGTAGCTAAGCTCCTGCATAGTTGTGGCCATGCCCCCTACCTGTGTAGAAGGGAAGGCACAGGCATGTGGAATTCGTGGAGTCATTAATGCATGTGGCACCATTCTTGCAGATCTTGTTACTGCTGCACTTGTTGGTCTTTAAGCTGCAGGTTGGACCTTCAAAACCATTCGCACAGGAGCAACTGTCAAAAGAGAAATAAGCCTATTTAACTGACCAGGAGGTTGGAAGCTGCTTGCTTCGGGGCTTTTCAGGAATGTTGCTCTTGAGCCCTTCTCTGGACAAGCCAGAGTAAGTCAGTGAGAGGTTGTCAAGACTTTTTCCAAAGAAATTTGGAAACTGTAGCTCTGAACACAGGATGGTTTTGCACTCTGGCCATTTTTGCTTCTATCTGGTAGAAGGTAAGTAGAATTACCCTGGAGGTTGCTGCATTAAGGAAGGGACTAACAAAGATCTTGCTTTGACAAGAGTTCTAAGGCAGGCAGGCAGGTCTGGTGAGGGGACATTTAAACTTAGAAGTGAGATGAGGAGTTGGGGAGAGGACAGGAGAGACAAGCCAAGCCAAGCCAAGCCAAGCCAAGCCAAGCCAAGCCAAGCCAAGCCAAGCCCTTCAGATGGGCAATCAGCGCAGACAGAAGAAGCCACTGGGTGTGAAAATAAAAACCATGATAAAGGCTAAAATGCTGCCTTTTGTGCAGGTATTTTGAGCATGCTCATTTACCTGTTAGGTTTACTTCTTAAATATTGTCTACCTTTTACCTGCTGCTTATCCATGATACTTTTGCATACTGCATCTGGTTGCTGCATTTTTTACAAAATTGCCCTAGAATCAACTTTGATTAAGGGCAGTAAATAGATTGTGTCCAATTGTGTCATTCTATTGGTGCAACCATGTGCAGCTTGCAGAAACCCCATTGTTATTCTTGCACATGATTTAAATCCAATACTTTGATTCTGCTGGTGTAAGTTGTACAAAGAGCTGCACAAATAGTTCTACAAGTTGCTGCACATGCTCTTGCATAGCCTGTTGCACAATACATTGTAAAGAGCTGCTCTACATCACACAAGAAATCTAGATATAGAGCAGTATACAAATTCACACACACACACACACACACACACACACATAAATAATTGCATAAGGAGTTGTGCAACTCCTTACAACTTTAATTGACTTGGTGTTGCTTGCACTAGTTATTCCTATTCTGACAGTAGTTGTGAAACTGCCAGTAGAAACAATGCCAACTCTTCCGATTTTTTCCACTAGAATAATGCTGGATATGTTCAAAATAGATATTTACTGCCCTTCACCAGAACAGACACGGGGGTAAATTCCAGCAATTAAAAATAGCTAACAGTTTTCAAAGCCGTAATAATGCGCCTGCTTATTTTCTGCATGTGTATGAACAGCATGTTCCTGCCCATACACCATACCATATGGGAACACACACCTATAAATAGATACACATACAGCTCCGGGACTAGTGATGGCACAGGTAAGTATGTGTCTCAAACACTGGCATTTGCATTTATATTGCCTGCAGCCTATTTAGTTGGAAGAGGAAGCAGCAGCAGAATTGGTGACCTTTCCTTACTAATATATTGAATTGTTCTACGGGCTAAAAGCACTGATACCTTTTCCTAGACGACTCATCTCCCTGTTTGCTACCTTTTCCCAAAGGCAGAATCTAGTGTGGTGTGTGGAAGGAAGCTGCTTTGTCAACCCCCAAAGGACATTATGTGCTGGCTTTGAAGATGCTGGGTTGTTATGGTGACGGTATGAGAGGCCATTTAGCATCTTGGCAATTTGGGTACATAGGCAGGGCTAGAGCCCCATTCTCTCTCCACTGCCTGCCGTTTATTTTCAGCTACTAATAATGGGCTGTTTCCCAGAAAGCCGCCCACACTGTACTCAGAAGAGTAGCGTGGGGAGGAGTCCTGTGTGTAGAGGCCCAACTACTCTATCAAAGCCCCAAGAGGCTGGGATAATTGCTAATTCAGTAGGGCACTGGTGCTTTAATGGTTTCATCTCCCTGATTCCAACCAATGTTTATTAAACTAAAGAAGCAGCTGCCACCTTAAGGGTCAGTGTCAGTGGTGGACATGGATCTTGTTCAATGGGTGGGGTGGGCAAAGGTGCATGTTTGGACAGCGTGAATGAGTTGCTTCCTAATGCTTTGGAGCTAATGACTCCTGCTTTAAAAGGAGGGGGCCACGGGCTTTCCTGGGCCAGGATGGTTTGAGGTATTGCAGCTACAGGAAGCTGATGGGCTTCGGGTGGGTCACCACAGTTGCTCCTGGCAGGCAATAAGTCTCAGCTATTCTAGATGTGATGTTCCTGTCCATCTTCAAGAAAAGCCCCCTGCCTGAAACCCTGAACTGTTACTCACAAGAAACTGGTTCCATCTCCTTCATGAGACAAGCAGGTGCCGCCATTCTCACAGGGCCTGCTGGAGCAACCATCAAGAGAGAGGTCACAGTTTCTGCCCTAAAACAAGGGAAAGGGAGGAGGCAGTCACAATTTGAAAGATGACACCCTGGCTGTGTCGTTCATTAGCCATTTAACACAGACTGGGTTTCTTACCTGTGTTTGAATTAGTCATCCTGTTCTGCTTATCAGAATTTCCTTTTATGCTCAGTTCAGCTTCAAGCAAAACATTTTACATTTGCATGTAAGTGAAATGAAGTAAGAAACTGAAATGAAAATGCCAGTCCCCAGCACCCCTTTCCTTCCTCTTTGAGAAACAGTGGCAAGTTCTAGGTCTTAGCCATTGTGACTGAAAGTATAGCCTGAGCATGCACGCCAGCAGTGACAGGTTGGACTGCAAATCCAGCAGGAAAGGTGCCTCCCGCTGTGCCTGGGTCCTGCAGAAAACCGCCTACTTCTTGGGTCCATGTTGTCTATCACAGCACATGGCCTTCAAAGCAGGGAGAAAGACCTGCCTTGCTCTTTCCCAGTCCACCCCCACTCTCCCAATAAGCCTTACCTTTCCCATTTCTCACCTTATAACCACTGGGGCAGATGCAGTGATAGGAATCCAGAGGGTCTTGCTGACACGTTCCCTTGTTTTGACACGGGCTGGAGAGACAGGGGTTACACTTTGCCTGGATGATCAATGGAGGAGGCCCTGTAAAGAAGGGGGTGGGGTGGGGAGATAACATAATGCGAAATTTACAGCCCAAGAGTCACTGGCGGGTCTCCATTCATCCTCATATAAACACTACGTCCCCGTTGGTCAGAATTGCTTTCAAAGCATTTGTTAGAAACTTCTCTTTGAAGACCACAGTTACTGGCAGAAGAGACCTGATACAGATTTATGCTGATCTTGAACATACATATTTTTAATATACACAGGTTCAAGGTTCTACTTGTAATGTTTGAAGCCCTAAACACTTGAGACAGGATACCTGACAGACCACCTCTGCCTAGTCACTGAGATCATCAGATGGCATGTTCCTGCTGGTTCCATGTGGACCTATGGCCAGTCTGGAAACCACCAGAGAAGAACCACCTGTATAGTGGCTCCATCTCTGTAGAGTTCCTGGCCCCTGGAGGTCAGGCAGGCATCAGGATTGCATCAGTGAAGTGTATGCTTTACACACAGAACTTTCCAGGTTCAGTTCCCAGGGTCTCCAGTTAGAACGCCTCAGACGGCAGGTGATGAGGCAATCAGAGCTGCTACTGGGTGAAATAAACAGAACTGGCTAGATCAGGAGTGGAGAACTCCTTTTGGAAAGGCTCTTGTGGTTCCCAGTCCTGTGGTGGGTGAGGTCAAAGGCAACGTGAGTGGGGCTGAAAACAAGAGGGATGGGACCAAAAGTACCAAAAAAAAAGAGCATCTTGTAACTCACATCTCTAATGGCAGCAGTGAAGCCTTAGGAGAGGCAGTTCAGCCTTTCAGAATAGGGGAAAAGGGCACCAAAGCCAGGAAGCCAGCAAGCAGTGGTTGGGAGAAAGGTGTTAAGGCCATGGGAGATGGCATAGGTACCTGGGGAGCCTTGGAAGGCCAGCCTGAGACTTCAGGTAGGTCAGATCTGCCCTCTAAGCCTGAGGGTCCCAACCTCTGGACAGTCGGACAGAGTATAAGGTTGCTCCTTATGTTCTTAAGTACTGTAGCTTCGTCATTCCCTCCCTCCAACATTCCCCTGTTTCCTTCCTCTGCCAAATGAAGAGTCATGTGACAGGCATGAATGGCTGGAAGGTTCTGAGATGGAGCCTGTATCAAGTGTATTGGGGTTGATTTAACCATTGCATCTCAACTGGATACACAGGAGCCGGAAGAAAAAGGCAACTAACCTACAGTCCAGTCCTTCCAGAGTACCCTCCAGAATCTCATGTGCTTCAATATGACAGACTGAATAGAATATTAACGGCACATCTGTGGGCCAATAATGGCACACCTATGGGATGTAGATGCTGCATTAGCCCCGCCATAGCAACACCCAGCATCAGATCCCTCATTCCACCATCTTCTCTCATATGCATCAACACCACCCCCACCCCAGTGTCCTTCCTCTTTCCATATGCTTGTTTCCTAACTTCAACAGCCCCAGCACTGAAATACTTGTGCCTTTTTTCCTGCCCTGAGCTTGGAGTCTCCATTTGGCTGGGAAAGGTGAGTGAAACACCAGTGAGCACAATGACCAAGTGAGTCTTTTTTGGTGGTTCTCCTAGAAAGTATTCAAGGAGGGCCCCCTTTCTAGGCACTTCGGTCGCTTACCTTGGCACTCAAACTTCTTCGCTGGAGTAGTGAGCAACAGTTTACCCTCCATATCAGCAGGACCAGCACAACGAGCAATGCCAGGCTCTTTGTAACCAGTTTTGACCCAGCCTGAAAGCCAGTGCATATGGCAATCACAGTAAAGGGGGTTGGCACCAATGGCTCTGTGGGGCAGGAAGAATCAGAATTTCTACATCAGTATAAAAAGTCCATAAGTCTTGTCACCTGGTCACTCTGACTACCTGTAGAACAGGGGCAGGCAGAAGGTAGATGGGGATCTACTGACAGATCTCAGGGCGATTTGCAAGAGATAGATAAAGGTTTCAGATTCCCTTTTGTTTAGAATGGAAATAACTATGAGAAAGGATGCCCCCAGTCCCCACCATTGGTAGGGTTGCTGAGTGGATTCTAGTGAGCTTGGTTCTGGTACTGATCACTTATTTCTGGGCTGGGCATTGGCACTTCTTCAATTTGTAACCTGCCTACACCACTATTTTGCACCAGGCACCAGTTAGTGGATATTTGGTTTTTAATAAAAAAAAGTAGATCCTGAAAGCCTGAAGCGTGACCACTCCTGTTCTTGTGGCCCTGAGATTGGTTCATAATCTTCAGCATTCAAGAACTTCAAATCTATCCACATAAAGCAGGAGTGCTTTATAATAGTCAGTCTCTCATCCTCGCTACATGCTTGTTTCTTCATGCTTGTTTGTCTCAAAAGTGTTGATTCACACATGCAAACTTATCACTCGATCTCTCAACACTTTGTTCTGAGTGTGTGAATTACCCAGACTGGAATGCTGCGGGTTCTTACCACTCAACAGGTTAACCTGGGGCCCTGCAGAATATGCCCTCCAGCATTATGAATACGCACGCCCCAGGCAGGGGTTGCCATGGCTTGAAGTACCATCTGAACCTGGAAACATGGATTATTTGAAAGGTAGCACTCACATAAGTTTAATGTTCAAATAACCCGCACGCTTGGGTTCAGATGACAAGGGTCACAACAATCCTTGGCAGGGGCTTGCATATCCATAATGGTAAGTGGAATGCAGCACAGTGCCTCAAGGGTTAATTAATCCATGACGGTCTGCTGTTTTGTGAACTAGCACAGAGGTAACCTTCAGGGTTACCTCCTCTCCTAGAGCTGCTCATTAGCATATGCAGATTACCAAGGACCTCAGACACTGACCCTCATGTTCCCAATCGACCTTTTCCTAACGCAGTTCTTTGTTCTGCCTGTGTTTGCTGTGGTGTTTACAGTTCTGTGTTTTACAGTGCTGGCCTAGGTTGGTTTCTTCTGCATTCAGAGGTCCAAAGCAGCTGCCATTCCAGTGGAGGCATTGATTTTACAGCCAGCTGAGCTTCCAAGAGCCAGTGGAAGTTATGGGGGGGTCAAGCTTTTTTGCCATACCTCTGGATACACCCTTAGAGGCAGAGTTGCTACATCCTGATAAAAGATGCTGGGAATTTCAGCAATATTCCAGCACAACAGACTTGGATCAGTTTCTGCTGCTATACAGCACGCAGAACACAACCACCCACACAACTTCTGGTATCACCTGAGCCCAAGCAGCCATTACCCCCGAAATGGAAACAGACTCCTGTCTAGCATCTGTCTGGGTGAATGAACTGAACCCTCAACAGCAAAGCAATGGTATCCTCTAGACTGTACCAGCCTTTGTCAGTGGGATTCCACAGAAGCAGCCCCCAGCTGGGAATCAGGAGGAAGGAGGAAAGTACTCACAGGTGAGAGAGGGAAATGACATCAGCAAAGATCCCCTCTGGGAGTGTAGAGATATCATTTCCATGGAGGGACCTGCATGCAAGCACAGCCAACAATTCTTAATGCCCTGAGCAGTGCTCAAACTGTGAACTGGGGGGTGGGGTGAGGTAGGGCAAGGTGGAGGGCTGCCCTACACGACAGAGAATAGTCCTGCATTGAGTGTCCTCCGTTTAAAAGGCTGTCCAGTCCAAGTCAAGATAAAGACCATAGCAATGGAGACCAGGGGCTGTGAAGAAGGTGAAAGGTCCACAAGTCACCTGATCAGTCTTCCCCACTATACAGGCATGTAAATGGCAGTCATCATCTCTAAATCTCCATCTTGTACAAGTTTTATGCAGTTTGCATCCTTAAAAAAACAATTTCTTCTTTTCTGGTTTTGCAGGGATCACCAGCCTAAGGGTGTGGAGGAGACAGAGGGGGACAGAACCCTACATGTTGTGACAGTCCTTAGGTACCATCTACAGAAAGCTGGAGTGGGGGGGGGCATTGTGTGGCATTCATTAAGGCCTCTGCCCTCTCCCTCTTAACTCGAGCACAGCCCTGTCCTGTGCACACGTGGAAAGGCTGCTCAGCTCTACTAGTCAAGGTCATTGAAGTGTTTACGGATGCAAACTTCATAAAGTGCTTGAACTAATTGCACAGAAAGTCCCTCAGCTCACTGCAAATTAACCTTTCCCTTTCCAGTATCCTTTGCTTGGTTGCTAGTTTCTTAAAAGAATTGCATTCCAGCAATCAAGCCAAATCAGATTCCGGAATAATTGGAGATTCTTGGGACAAGTGGAAGGAGAATGAAGTTGTGGCAATAGTTTTGCACTGGGACATAACCAAATGGACAGGAATACAAGGTACCTACAGCAGCCGTAGAGAACGGAGACCCTCGAAGGCCAGTGGGGGGATACACTGCAGTGCATTGTAGCTGAGAATCCTGGGTGATAGTGGAGAAAAGAAAGAACAGTTTGGATCAACAGACCTTCTCTTTGAGGCAGCTGTCTGTATTGCTTTTCTCATGAGCAACACAAAAATGGAACACAGTCTGTTTTGGGGATCTCCTGGCTGGATCCCCACTGGCAGTGTGGTGTAGTGGTTAAGAGCATGGGACTGGGACTCAGACGATCTGGGTTCTAGTCCCCACTCAGCCATGGAGCCAACTGGGTGGCTTTGGGCCAGTCACAGACTCTCAGCCCAGCCTACCTCACAGGGTTGTTGTGGGGATAAGATGGAGGAGGAGAATGATGTAAGCTGCCTTGAGCCCTTTGTAGGAAAAAGGCAGGATATAAATTGAAAAAAATAAAAAAATAAAATAAATAATATTCATCCCAGTTTAGCAATATTCGGCATGAAGCTAAAATCACACTATTGATGATGATAAACAGAATAATACCGTGCTTTTAAAAATTAAATATCAAATAGAACATTTGGAGATAATGATCTTAAATATAGTTAAGATATATTCTTAATGACTTAAAAATTTTTAAAGCCTTGCCATCATCACAAGCACCCTTTCAAATAGGATGGTTCTGACTGAAATACATTTGAAATCCTGTTATTTAGAGCTGCCAGTAATAAATAAGTTAATCATAGTGAGTAACTGAAATGTTTAGTCCTAAGTTTGCCTGTTCAATGAAAAATTTATTACTGGCCCTTCCTGTTGGAACCCTGAAAGAAATTAAACCCTAATCAGTAAGAAAATCCCCCACTTTTATACTTATGTCATTGTTTTAGTATTTTAAAGCCAGTATAATGATGGGAACAGAAATGTACATGTGCATGGCTCACATGGATTTGGTAATTAATAATAATGCTAGTTCTTGTGGCATCTTTGCAGTATATTGCAGTCGGCAGGCATGCATTTTTCAGATATTTGAAATCAGCATCTTTTATTCAGGCTTCTACTCATCTTCTTTGACCAGGCAGTGGTCCCACTGAAAAAGGATGTTTTGGTAAAAAACAGACCCTTTATTCTGTCTACCATTTTAAAAAGCCCAACAGTCTCCTTTACAGAAATCTAGAATAGCCTCTTTCTGCAAGCTTCAGTGGTACATTCTTCTGTTTTGACTTTCCGATGCCATACTAAGCACTCACAAGGTTGTAAGCTGGCTCATATTGGTAAAGGATGAGTTGCTGAGACAGCTGATCTTGTTGTTGCTCAGATCCCTGTAAGACAAAAGCACCACGTAGGCTCTAGCAGCACCTTTACCTAGTTGCATCCCTCCCCATCGAGCCTCTGGTGTCTGGCCAAAACACTTTCACATCCAGCAGAGTTGCCATGGGTAATTGAGCATTCCCATGACAAGGAGCTCCCAAAACACTGGCCAGTGGCCAGATGCCTCCCCAAAATCCAGTAATATTGCTAGGAGCAGCAGGTCTGGTGCTCCATAGTCTCCCTTTTAGGCATCTCTGAAAAAGGTCATGTAAGGGTCTCAAGAGGGCATACGGGTTCACTTCGTTTACTTCTCAGATACGTACACCAGTTGGAGAGAACGGAAAGTAGAGAGCTGTCCAGGAACCAGAGAAAACTGGTTGCCATCCAGGTAGCTGCAATCAAGGATATGTATGATATCACAGAGGTCATACAGGAGTCAGAATAAAACTCAGAAAAAAAATGGAAACTCTCCACCAATGGTGCCCAAACAAGAAGCTATAGCCAGCAAAGATGAAAATGGTTTAAATGATCTTATAGTAGTAAATGCATTTCAGAGCTGGATTTCTAATAGAGGGAAGGAGTTGGCAATATTCAGCAAGGGGCGGCATAGAAATGGTATAATAATAATAATAATATAAATAATAATAATAATAATAATAATAATAATAATAATAATAATAATATACTGCATGCATCTTAGTGTTAAAAGTTCTTAAATCAGAAATGATGCATGTCTTTCTAGCATCCCAACCCTGATTCATTTTCAAATGGTAATTCAGGCCCCTTTTGCTTGCTACAGAGGCACCTTTTCTCCAGACAAAGGAAATTTTCACAGTTCAGTGCCCATCCGGCTCTTAGACATATATCCATCCATACTGTGGTAGGATTTACATCGGTGTGGGGCTCATCGGGTTATGATTGATTTGAAAGGGCCCTTCCCAGTCCCTTGAGCCATGGGTGCAACTTGCCGGTCCCCACCACGCCCCTCCCTGGTACAGCATCTGCAAACGACTCAACCACAATTACTCACAGCTCTGTGACATTCTTGGGTATCCCCTTTGGGAGTGATTTCAAGTGCTTGTTGCTGCAGCGGACAACAGTGTCTAGGCAAGTGCACTCCTGGGGGCACTGAGGACGTGGGAGGCAGCTAATCTCCTCCTGACCTGCCGAAGGACAAGCCGAGAGGTTCATGGTGGAAAAATTGAGAGAGGAGAGAACCCTGCTGTAGAGACTATCCCAGCTCATTCCAGAAAAGCCACCCCCACATCTTCGAAGGATCAACAGCAATTAGAGCTAAGAATATTAATCAACTGGAGTGATTAATTCAAGGAAAATAAAAAATGTAGCACTTAATTGGAAAGTGTGAAAGGTCCTTTTGCAGTTGGTGTCCTCCCTATTGATTTACACAAGGGTCTCAATCCCTAGAAGCGCACTGAAAGAGCTGAACAGCTGTTAATTTATTTTTCCATACACATACATGTCAGAAGCTGCTATTTGGATCCAGGCCAAGGGCTTCAGATGGTTTGCCGAATCGTGTATTTATTTAGTATTACATGCTGCATCTATTTAGTAAAGCGATGCTGTATTAAATATCTCCAAAATATTTCCTGTGACAAGATACTGTACTTCCTTACATTGCGTGATTAAACAACTGATTAAATTGCCTTGCTTTTAACCAATTAATCAATATATATATCTCAGCTGGCAGGTCTAGCAGCATCCCTTTTGCAATTAGGGGCCAGCTATGTCCCTGGCAAGGTTATTGCTGTGCTGCAGGTTATTTCTAGCTTGAAGCTGCTGAACCCGACCAGCACGGCCAGGTGTGCCCATGTAATTGCTGCTAAGGTAGCCAAGATCCAGGCTGACATACCAGCGTGGGAACAAGTGGTCATTCCAATTCAGGAACAAGGGCAGAAGAAGACAGCACTACCCGTTCTCAGTGCAGCTGTCAAAACTTGTCCAAATGGGGTGCTCACAGGTATCCGTGGTAGATAATGCATGTGATTTCACGCATTATTCATCAGTGGGTGCAGCCTTCTTGGCCCCTTTCAGCTGCCTGTTGTGTTCCCACGACACTCTGAATTCCACTGATCTGTTTCAGAAAATCTGTTCCCATCAGTGAATTGTTCTTGCAGGATCCGAGGATCCTGGCAGTGCCTCTCTAACACCCCTCCCCAGTAGCCTGGCCTAACGGGTATTTAGCAAGCTGAGAGGTAATGTGACATTTCCATGCTCCACTGAACTTCGGTGCGCCACAATACATGCTTGTGCTCCCTGCTTTGAATTTGCATTGCAACAATGTTGAATAAAGAAGGGAGGTGAAGAGGTGGGTTGGAAGCTTCACAGCTAAAAAGCAATTTGGACCTTGTGTAAATACTGCACCCGACCACACTGTACTTCAGTGGGCCGCCAGCAGAAATTCAAATACAGCCTTGTGTGGTTTGTGGAATAGACATCAGCTATGCAATCAAACCCTCAATTTGCATAATTGTTCCCGCCCCGTCCTTGCTGCTATCCAAGCTCCAAGCGCCTGTGAGTTACCTTCCTCACACCTGAAGTCGGGGAAGGCAACATCTTGCAGTGGAATTTGGCGCAGAAAGTCTGGATTATGACAGCGTGGGTTCCCAGTCACAATCTTCCTCTTGCGAAGCCAGTCGCCCAGCCAGGCCAGACGGCAATTGCAGTTGAAGGGATTAGCCAGCAGGTTCCTGGGTGGGAAGTTGCAGCAGAGAGATAAGTAAACCCAAGTGGCATGGGATAATCCTACAGAGTGCCTGTTAAATGTGCAAGCAAGCAGATAAGGCTCAGCGTCCTTCCACCCCAGCGCTTTTGCACCATGCAAGAGACCTCCAACTCTTGCCTTGCTTGAACACTTCCCAATGGGGCATCTTGTTGCCCAGTTCGGGCAATACGAAGCCTGACTAGCTAGGCCTTCAGTCTGATTCAGCATGTCCTTTCTTACATTCTTGTGACTTCCCCAGCATGGCTACACAGCAGCGCTTTTAGCTGTAGGACCAAACACTGAATCAGAGACCTTCAGCAGTCAGTGCATGTGCCCTGAGACTCAGCTGTGGGACCTTGCTAATATAAGCAATTGGATTGTGAATTCTAAGCTGGGAAGCCCTGGTTAAAATCCCACCTCATTTCTCAACTAAGTGGCCTTAAGTAAGCTGCTTCTCTCTCAGACTCAGTATTCCTCTTCATATGTACTGTAAGGATAATTACACTGGCCAGACTTACAAGGATTCTGTAAGGATTCCTGAAATAATGTATGTGAAACATTTTGGCGCTTCAAATGTATAAATGCTAGTAATTTATTGATTGACTTTTAATATAAGCAGCCATTAGGTATATTTTGTAAAATCGTGGAGGGCATAAATAAAATAGTTGTCTTTTATTGGTATCATTCTATATTAGGGTATCAGTAATAAATGGCTGAATCCGCAACTGTGCTGTTAAAGCTGTGAGATCCTGCTGGAGATGAATGGAAACATTTTCTATGAAGCAGAGTTACAGACTCTGAGTTGGACTGGCCCCACACCAAAGTGCTCCCTGCTGCCTGTGAACTTTTCTGGAGGCAACAGCAGACAATGGACAGCTGCCATTTAAAATTTCCTAAAATGCACCTGAAGTAGTGTTACTCTAGGGAATTCTGGGAAATTTAAATGTTGCTGTTTTGCATTCATGCGCACGTATATCCTGAGGGCACCATTTTAATTCTTCACAAAAGCTCTGATATCATGCTATACTGAGGGCATTGTGGGAAATGATCCTGATGTAGGACCTGAAGCACTCGAGCGAGTCTGGAACTGCTTCTAATTGGAAATAGTTTGTGATGCCAGTAACATCCCAAAAAGTAAGGGTTCTGTGACTGAAGAGGCAAAAGATTTCCAGGAGGGAAGGGAACACTGTCTTCTGGATAACCCCAAGGGAGGGCAGACCACACACATGAGGGTTCTAGTTAAAATTGTCCTTGACTCACAGAGTGGAGAGAGACTGTAAAGTGTCAAAAGCGCCTGGTGAAATAGTACTGATCTGATTGTCATAGAGCGAGAGAAGGCGCACGTTCCGCAGCCCTGTGAAGCTGTCATTGTGGATGCAGTTAATGCGGTTGTTTCTTAGCATCCTGAAGGAAAGAGAGAATGGGAAGAAGCCTTTTTTGCAAATTATTCCTTGATACTCAGGGTGTAGGTGAAGAGAAGTCAGCTAGCACTGGTTCTCTGCTCACTCATATATTGATAACGCACCAATGTGCACTCCACAATTAGGGGCAACTTACAACGTCCGTAACCCATCAAGGCCCCGGAACATGGCGCTGCGCACAGACTCCAGCTGGTTAGCAGTCAGGTGCAACTCGCTGACTGAGGCTGCCCCTTCAAAGGCCCCGTCCTCAATCTCTGACACCTTGTTGTTGCTCAGGTTTCTACAAAGGAAAGGTGTATGAGGGCAATTGCAAAATGCAGGAAGAGAGCTTTCTCACCTCACCTCACCACAACTCAGTGCTTAACTCCGGCCAAGCAAAGATAGGATGGTTGTGGTGCTGGTGGTTGTAACAGTTCCAATCTATTATCTAATGCTGCTTAATCCTTCAGTGAACCATCCCTCCACCCAGCTGCAAAGTTCCTGGTGCTTTTAGCTTTGAACTTGTTACTCCAAGCAAGATATACCTCTAAAACCAATTCTTGTTGCTGCTTTAGAGAATCTAGATGTGCCTGCATCTGCTTCATTCACAAGAAATACCTGCTTCTTTTTGGAGTGATGCTGGCTTGCAAACACCACTGTCTCCTTGTGTAAGAGCTGTGTGCAGCTGTGTAGGGGAAGGTCTTAAGAGTGTCTCCTCAGCTATTAGAATTCCTCACCCACATACTCACATTTTTTTTAAGTGTGGTAGCTTCTTGAAGATGCCTGTGGCCTCCAGAAGTGTGATCTCATTGTTGTTCAGGCGTCTGCCAGGGAGAGGAAGAAAAGTAAAAATACGAATCTGAGAGCAAAAGAAGACGAAAAAGGCCCCAATTTGTGCTGCACTTTGAACAATACAAGATCCTTCTTTTCCAAATAACAGACATCTCACTGTAAGGAAAAAATAGCATTTCAAGTGGAACAGTGGAAGTCTGACAACTAGATAAGGATAAGGGAGGGTGATGTTGGATTCATGTTCTTCTTGGTGTTTCTTTTGGGCAGCTGGTTGCCCACTGCTTCAATAACATGCTGGACTAGATGGTCTGCTCCAGCTGGGCTCGTCTTACATTCTTATGATCTAAGGGTCATTTTGCTTTACTATGTAAAGAGCTTGCAATGTAGAGCAAATAGAACAAACACATTATGGTTTGGGGCCAAGCTACATGTTACACTTAATCGTCTAGCTCCCTCTCCTAGACAATCCTTACTGGGAAAGCCATACACCAGAAGGAAAGGCTTCCCCCTCCCCAGCACTATCTGAACTATTTATTTTTTTTATTTTATTTTTTTTATTTATATCCTGCCTTTTCCTACAAAGGGCTCAAGGCAGCTTACATTATCTCTCCTCCTCCATCTTATCCCCACAACAACAACCCTGTGAGGTAGGTTGGGCTGAGAGACTGGCCCAAAGTCACCCAGTTGGCTCCATGGCCGAGCGGGGACTCGAACCCAGATCCTCTGAGTCCCAGTCCCATGCTCTTAACCACTACACCACACTGGCTCTCTAACTAATAGTTACTCATAGTGTCCCTTTCTCATCCCTTCCTGGCATGCCCAGAATACTTAGGAAAAAACTTCAAACAGGTGCAAACTTGTTTCCGAAACATTCAGGCTAGGGAGGAGACTTTCATCTCATGAAATGGATGGGGGAGGGGTGGCATCTGATCAATCTTTGCTCCTTGCATACTGCATTCCTGGCAAGGCTCCTCACCCCTTTACATACCTGAAATAATAAAAGTACAAATGGAACTATATGCTACACCTTTAGTGCAAGTTGTACTCTGAACCTCAGACAACCATTCCGTGCATCAGATACGCGCTGGGTACAGCACAGTACATAAAAGAGAGGTGCTTAGATGAGATACACCCAGAAATGGGTGCAGCCGGTCCAGGTTTTTACAAGAGGTTGAATCCAGATTAATGCTGGATCAACTGTGATGGTGAAGGTTGATGTTCTGCCTCCTCCTTCCCATGGCAGCCCCTCCTCAACCCTCTGAAAATGCTACAGAAGGAGTTAGGTCACCCCTGCTGAATGCAATGGGTTGTAGTGTGGATAGAAAAGGAGGAATCCCTTCCAAATTAAGCACAGAGACATTACATGAGCAGCATCATTCTCTTGCAAAGGCAGATTTTAGACCCAACACCAGAGGAAAACTAGGCACAGTAGTTAAGAGTCTTTGATGAAAAGAGTAACTTTTAATCAGGGAATAAATCTGAGGTGATTTTAATACAGAAAAAAATCTCGTGGATGTCAAACGTTTTTCTCCTCACTTCTCTTTTCATCTTAGAGCAAAGAATTCTAAGTTAGGTAAATTCAAAATCACCAACAAAAGCACAGCGACCTTTCAAAGTCATGTATATGGGTGCCTGACTGTTAAGCCATTCTGGAATTCTCCTTCCTTCCAATAATGACAATGCTTTGCCTGTGAATTCTTGTCCTGAGATGCAGGGGGATTCTCCCAACTTGTGGGGTTGCCCCTCCCGTGAAGTATAAGGAGGCAAGGACTAACTGTTCATTAGATCCTCTGGTCAAGATGCTTCTGCCTCCCAGATCAGAACTGAGGAAAGCCAACACTTCCAAGAATACCTGAATGCTAAATGAAGAAATGTGAAAGTGCCTGAACTTCCAGTATAGATTTAAAAAACCCAGAAACAACCTCAAAAAAGACAAACAGCAGTAGGACCATTGAGAGAGGAAATGACCCAACATGGACTGAATTTTTGAATCAAATGTCATGCTGCCTCTACCCAGACCAGTGTTTTACTCCAGAAATGAAAAACTCAGAAGAAATAGAGTTGCTTTAATACTAAGGCAAAAGGTGGCATAGGCAGAATAATGCAAAATCTGACCAAAGCATATCCATCAGTATTTGTAGAACACCTAACAACTTCAAGTCTACATGCCAACAACAGATGCTGAAGAAGAAATGGAAAACTTTAATGTAGGTGTTCAAGAGGAATAGATAGCACACCAAAATGAGGCATGCTGATAATTCTAGGTGACTAGAACACAGAAGTAGGAATCCTCACCACCATCCCCACTGCGAGAATCCGTGCCACCATTTCAAACTGAGAATGGCTCTGGTGTCTCCGATTCCCCTGGGAACAAAAAAATTGCATGGGCCCAGAGAGGAACACATTCCATGGCCTTTATGTGTAGCAAATGTTGAATCACTGACAGCATGTTTCATAAGAGAGCATGCTTTTCTGTGCATGGCCCTCAGCAAAGCTCTGAACTTATTGTTTGGGCTAGAGGCAAGTGGTTTGGGCTAGAAGCAAAATTGTTTCTTGGGGATCTGCAAAATTCAGGAGCTGGGCTCCTATAGGAACAGTTTTGCCGGGAATCTTGGTATCATCTGTTCATTTGTTCCCCTAGAAGCTGAAGGAGCTCTAGAGAAATTCTAGAGGTTGTTTCTGGAAGATCCCTTGCATTATGAGCACTTTGACTTGAATGTACAGGACAGGCTAGATGTGTCAAAGTCCAACAGAACAGCTGAGGTGCACATGCGTCTCCTTCCTTCCTTGTCCTGGCTCTGAGAAAAAGATGGGGACAGAAAGATTCCAGGAAGGCTGCAAAGAAGCTCTCCTGTCTTGTTTATAACAGGATCTAACTAGAATGTGTCTAACGGAGCAGAGGAGGGAGCAGAAGAGAAGAGAAGAGAAGAGAAGAGAAGAGAAGAGAAGAGAAGAGATCTGTAACTTTGGTTGTTTGCTAGTCTCTGTAGAACTCAAAGGAAACTCTGCTTCCCTGTTGCTAGGCAGGGCCAATCTGAGGAGGTTGGGGACCTCTCAGCAGGAAGAGCCAATCAGGAAAAGGGCCTTGCCTCATTACTACAGGGAAGAGCCAATCCTGAAGGGTGCAGAATGGCCCCTCCTCTGCCTCTACCTGAGAACAAAGCCCAAAGGGATGCTATTGATTAGGAACATCCACACTCCTAAAGAAGCAGCTTCTCGTATCACCGATTGTGTAAATAAGCACAAGGAATGCACAGGAGGGGAGGGCACTGGGGTTTTGATAATAAGGAAGAGGAAAAAGCAAAGAAAGTCTAAGGACAAGGTAAGTCTAAACCTTACAGTTCAGCTGTGGCCTGTGGGAGGCGCTCTGGGATCTTCGTCAGTTTCAGATTGGAACATTCCACGACGTTGGCTTCACAGCGGCACTTGGATGGGCAGACAACATCACTGTGGCATTCACTGTTCAACTGGTAATCCTCTGTACCTTCAGGAAGAGAGATTGTGCATACATAGCGCTCTCTCTCTCTCTCTCTCTCTCTCTCTCTCTCTCTCTCTCTCTGTGTGTGTGTGTGTGTGTGTGTGTGTGTGTGTGTGTGAACTGCTACTACTGAAATGAGCTTCTAGAGATCCTATTTCCATTCCCTGTCCCACCAGACTGCCATCAGTGCTGTTTCGGTCAAACATAATGGAGAAGAAAGTTCCAGAAGTGGGGTATAAAGAGCAATACTTTTCCCTTTCTTTCCCAGCTTCCTGAAAACTTCCTTGTTGTGATGTATAGTGCTGAAATGCTCAGGATTTGGGCTGGCTACCATCTCTGAACCCGAACACCATACAGTACTGCTAGAGTGCATGCGTGTGTGTGGTGAGCATGTGAATAAAGCTAGGAAAGGGAATTTATTTTTCTTCTTACCCTCTTTCTGAAACCTCCCTATATAGCACGAGGAGGAAGCTTTTTAATTTCATGGCATACTTTCCTCCCTTCCTGCAAATACCCTTCAACAGTGCAATGCAAGCAGTTAGGCACTTGAGTAAGCCAATTCTTACTCATTGGTTATTTGAAGGCTCCCAAGTGTTTGTTGTTGCCTGGGTTTGCACAACACAACAAAGCAAGACAAGCTGGGCACCCACAGGAACCATACAAAATGGTGGGTATACATGCTGATAGGTATCCAGCACTAAGCAACAGCCTCCATGGGTAAATTAAGTCATGGCGGCCTTTTGTGTCGTGCAAACCAGGTTAATATCTGCAAACACTCCATATAAGGAACTCAAGTCAGCCAACTCCCTCCACTCCTGCTGGATTTAATATAAGCCATTCAAAATCCAAGAAATGGGCAATCTTGCAACCTCATTCTGCCAGCAGAGGAAGGACACTATTAACAGACTGATGTGACTTACATTACTCATATGCCAAAGCTTACCTGGAATGAAATACTGCTCCTTGGCTGTGAACAGAAATGTGCAGAGCGTTAATTTAATGCAACAAACATCAGACATGAAAGTTCATGCCACTCATTACTCTTGCAGATATGTCAGAGTGAGTGCGGTGCTTCTGCAGTGCATGGAATGGAGAAAGAAGGTCTACGGCACTCCAGGTATATATGCTTACAGATCATGGTCTGTGGGGCACCACACGATCTGTGGTTCAGTCCCCACAAAGCATACCAAACCCCCCACCAATTCGGTACCGTACTTCAGTGCCAAACTGCTCTGCAGTGCTTCAGATCACACAAGATTTAAATCTAGCTTGTTTCATGCAGGCAAGCTAAATTTGGCCCATCGATAGTATAGGTATTATTTCTTTCTTTTTCTTTTTAAATTTGGGTTGGGAAACATGCAGCCCATGTGTGACCTGTTGCCCTCCTCAGCCTTAATGTGTTTGCATACTTTGATTCCTTCTAAATTCCAGGGCACAAGGCAACTTGAAATGAGAGAAAAATCGACTGAAACTATGGGCTGGAGAAAAGCCACTGCTGGTTTGGTAAGGAGATACATTTCAGGGTAGGGGGGCATGTCTAAATCTCAAATTCCATTTATGTGTTGGAAACAAAATCCTTGGATAATTGTGCAAATGACCGTGGGGGGGGGGGCGCACCCCATCTCTCTACTCCTCTCTGGAACCCCAACTCTAGAACAGCCTTATAGCAGAAAGGTAATTCATACGGGAGCAGCGGAATTTCTTGCTCTTGATCTGTCCAATGCGCTTGTTGGCCAGGCGGCGGGGGCTGGCACAGCGAGCACCACTTGTCTCGATAGGATTGGCACGCAAGAAGTCGGCCAGCCACTTCAGGTTGCAGTCACAGATAAAGGGGTTCTGGGCCAGATGGCTGTAGTGGTGGAGAAACAGGTACAACTGAGCAGACCCGCTCAGCAATCTGAGGACTGCTGTAGGGGCTATCAGAGCAACCTTAAACCTAGCTGCTGTGTTGGTGCTTCTATCTCACAGTTCACTGGATGCTCTTTAAGGCACTGAGCAAACAAAAGTGTCAATTTCCTTGTGATTTCACCGGGGCCCTGGCAATAGGGTGGAGTTTCCATCCTCTTAAGAAGCTGTGTCTTCTCAGTGGGATGCCATGGTTGCAAAACCATGACCTTACAAGTATGCTTGCTCTCTTTCTATAGTTCTGCACCTCTGCTAATCTTCAGTCTTTCCCCCCACATCTTGTCTGCCTTCCCCCTGGGAACCCAGCACTCAACGGGCATCTCCCTACCTTCCTCCCACAGAACCCTGTCCTCATTGGACACATCTTCACAGAAGCCAGCACTCACAGGGTCTGGATGGCACGCAGGGTGGCAAAGGTGCCTTTGGCCAGAGTCTGGATCTTGTTGTCATAGAGCGAGAGCAGTGACAGGTTCTGCAGATCAGCAAAGGCATCTGCCCGGATGCAGTTAATCTTGTTGGCATTCAGGAGCCTGGAGTGAGGGGAGCACAACACACTAGAATTGTGTGTGTGTGTGTGTGTGTGTGTATTTGTAATAGGTATTACAAAAATGCATACTTGGCCATAACTCACAGCAGGGGATTCCACAGGTTTTATTCATTTATTTTATTTTCAACATCTATATACTACACTTCCACCCCAAAAGGATTTCATGGAAGTGTACATAAAATGTTAGATATTATGAGAAAACAGCATAAGATCTAAACATAAGATCTAACAATTAAACCAAGACGTGTCAATCTATTTCAACCAGCTAAAATTATTAAATTAAAATTGTAACAGTTTGCTTTAAAACGCCTGTGCATTTTAAGGAAGACAGGCGGGAAGGTGTTCCTATGGATAGTGTAGATAGGAGAGGAGAAAGGCTATAGCTAAACAAGGAGGGTAGTGGAGACTAAAATTGGAGAGGAGATGGTAACTACAGCTGGGATTGTAAAATAGACAAACATGGGTGGAAATGAAGCAGGCTGTGTGAGATATGGAGACGGTGGAAGAAAAGTCCAGTTGGGCTGCATATGAAATTATATTCAACGATAGGTTCCAGAAACAAGATGAAGGGCCATGTGGCTGGCACTGAAATTTGTAAATGGATGTGCTAAAGATACCTAGGAGCCTGATGTGTGGTTTGGGCCCCTCTAAAACCTAGAGCAGAGCGGCTGTTGTGCCACTAGACCCCTCCCCTGGCCCGGCAGCCCTCCCTCTCACTCATGCTTACAGTAGTTGCAGCGCATACAGGCCTCCAAACACCCCTTTGGGCAGCTCTGTGATCTTGTTGCCATACAAGACTCTGGAAAAAAAAGAAGAACACAACCACTCCCTGGATTAGTAGCAATGACCCTGCAGTGGCTTGGGAATTAGTAGTAACTATGGACTTACAGTGGCTTGGGGAAACCAGGTGCCTTAAAGAACTAGATCAAGGCTCACTCTTTGAACATAAGGTGCTTCAAGAGGAGGCCTTTACTGTGCAATTATGCTGCCTCCTTCATGGGATTTTACAGTGAGTCCAGAAGATGGTACATTCAATTTGCAGCTTTCTTTTGTTTTCCCCGCCGCTTCTCCCATCTCCCTTTTCCTTACCAGGAGGGATCAGTTCAGCAATAGCCGCACATTGTCTTTTGAGGGCTAGAGCTAAGAGCCCTCCCTCTGGAAGCACCCATAGTTGACACAGGCCAGGTATGGGGTAGCACTGCCGTCTCCAAACCGGAGCTGTACAGATGGGTTGGAGGACAATGCCCATCAATGACTACACTGGCTGGGGATAATGGAAGTTGCCATCTAGCCCACTGGGAAGGCCAGCATGGCACATGGAAGAATGGGACCGTGAAGAGCCAGCTGGCTCAGGGTGCCAGTATTGGGGACCTAGATGCACATGTGCTGTCAGGTTCTCCAGGATCCAGTCCAACTGTGCCAACTCCCATGAGCAGCTGCTCGGAGTGCAGCAGAATTAGCGCAGTAGCACGTGGCATGTGGTCTGTGTAATGGGGGTTCCTACATGGCTGTAACAGGTTCCAAATGACCCATTGAAAACCTCCCCCTGTCTGGAAAAAAAGAAAATACAGTGGTATGGTTGGAATCACCATATCGTGGAAAACTGCTTCGCGTGACTGCTTGCCATCTGGAGTTATAACTACGAAGTTGCATTTCAGAGGACAGCCACAATGCAGAATTCACTCAGGAACTGAGCCACATAAACTTATGGGGCAGAAGATGAGGGGGAAATGTCAGCACTGTCGTTGCCAGCCACAACTGGACACTGGAAAAGCAAGGCAAAGTGGGGGGGCACTGCGAATGGCCACTGCTGAATGCAGGTGGGTGGGGGGGGAGTTGTGAGCCTTCTCACACAGCATCCAAGTTGCACGCCGCCTTCCCACCCAGAACGCGTACTCCACCCTGGTCTCCACGGAGTCTACTCACAGGGAGTTGAGTGAGCGCAGGCCTTGGAAGGCATCCGGGGCAATCTCTGAGATCTGGTTGTTGCTCAGGTCTCTGAAAGCCGTACACAAAGCCAGCACTTACACACATGTGGACACTTAACGCTTCTTTGCACAGGCTCCTTCCCACTCTAAAGCTGCCTATCCCGCCATGCATTCTTTACAAAGTGCAGCCCTGACCTCTGAAATACCCAAAACCAGCCTCCCCAGCCTGGGGCTCTACTGGCCGAGGGATTCTGGGCGGTGTGGTCCGACCTCCTGGAGGGCTGGGGAAGGGTATGGCATTCCTGCCCTATCCCATCCTTCTCCCTTTGTTTCCTTGACAGCCCATATTTGTCCCACGTGACTCTCCTAGCAGGGTGTGGTGGACCGATCTAGGGCCACAATAAGCCTTAGCTAGCACAAGTCCTGGCACAGTTGAGGGAACAAGTGCCTCTGCAGTTGGGAAGGAGGACAGCTTTCCAGTTCATTGGTAGACAAGACTGAGGAAGAATTAAGGCCTCAGAATCTCGTCCCTGTTACTCAACCTCTAGCCACCCCATACTTCTATCCCATTTGGATAGCAGAGGAACCTCAGGGATGAAAAGAGAATTGTATATGGGCCACTGGTGATGACTGCCCCATGGAAGGACCAGCTCATGAAGGTCAAGGCATGGCGCCTATACATTATTTCCAGTACTGGAAGCAGTAAGCCTCAGAATACCAGTTGCTGGGGAACATGAGCAGGAGGGGGCTGTGGCAGGCATGCCCTGCTCATTTGCTTCCAACTGGAGCATCAGGTGAGCTATTGTGGGAACAAAGCCTGGGCTAGATAGGTTTTTGAGTTGACCCAGCATGGCTCTTATGTTGGAAAAAGGGGTTTGGGTGGCCAGAGAAGCACAGGCTGGGCTAGGAGGATCGGAGATGTAACTGAAGAAAGCAGGAGGGCAAGCTGGATGTGAATCGTAATGAAGATGCTTACATCCGGCGCAGCTTCTTGTAGGAGGAGAAAGCTCCAGGGGGAATAGACTTGATGCCGTTCAGCTCCAAACGTCTGCAAGGTAAAGCGAATCAGAAGGAAAATGAAATGCTATCTCTTCCAGCAACAATACTTCATAGAGCAGGCAGGAGATTCTGCACACGGGAAGGGGTACAGCTTGTTTCCCTGATGGGTTCACCTTGCTAGCATGCAACTGCTCCTTGAACTTCTTGCCAAATCTGCAAATTAAGGATCTTTCATTTGGCATTGGTCCACCCCAAAGCATGACCAAGGAAATGCTAACACAAGCAGCATTAGAGCAGTGAGCAAGGCAAGTTGGAAATAATCCACTTGGATTTTTTCTCATAGACCATGCAGAGATGAATATTAAATATGCAATTTTTAGCTGCAATTCAGGAGTATTTGGAATGATGTGTGGTTTTGATACACATTTCTTCTTGTTAAGCTTCTTTAGTTATTTGAAGCTAAATCATGGGAGGGGAAGGTGAACAACTGTGGAGATAGAGGGAGGAGGAAAAGAGCAGGCTGAAGTAAAACAGGCTGGTAGAGATAACAACACATAAGATGAATATGGCAGGCCCCTGTGCTCAGGTTACACCCAGCAAGCTCTGACTCACATCTCAGTCATGGTCTCAGGCAGGTTGGCAGGGATGGCGGTCAGCCCTTTACCCCGACAGTCCACAATGCCATTGCTGCAGCTGCACATGGCAGGACAGGAGCCTGATGAAAAGCTGCAGATTTGGGCCCTGGTAGCATCATCATGGCCTGCAGAGAAGAGGCGGAATGCAAAAGCTTAGTGACTCCTCCTTTCATCGGGCCTTTGCTCCTCCTTGGCATTTTGCAATCCACTTAGAGTCCTCAGACTAGGCATAGCAGAATATAAGTTGAATAAATACATACATACATACATACATTAGCTCTAGCTGCTTGCTCTGGGCTTGTATGGGCTAAGCTATGGTTAGGGATACACTAATGGGTTTATAGTCATCCTTTCCAACACCAAGCCACAGGCTCGATAATGTTTAGGTCTATCCTGGCTCTTGGATTCTATGATATGAAGAAAAAACATAGTGCTCACTCTGCTGTTTACCCTTTGCCCATGCTCACAGGAGGAAGGATAGGCCAGGAACTTGCCAGAGCACAGCACAAATCTGGAGCTTGTACTTGGTTCTGGGCAGGTAGAAGAGCATTCCTTTCATCTTCTATCATCCTAGTTCCACTAGGCTTGAAATATGGGCATTAATGCAAAGCTGCATCCATAATATCTAGCAGAACAGGGATCAGTTGGTCAAGTCGGTAAAGACAAGCCATGGCCTGCACAAGTCAAAATGAGGAGACAGAGCATGTGGATTGGAATAAGAGAAAAAAGAGCATGTTCATCATGGTTTGATAAAGAGTTCAAAGAGAGCATAATGTGGTAGGAAGAAGAAGGGCAATCTTTCCATACAGCAGTTTCCTGGGCCTTCAATTGGACAGACTGCCAAAAATGTGAAAGGCAGATGGAAAATCTTTCTAAAATATGGTTTTTGCACTCATTCCAGTTGTGTAGATTCCAGCTGTATGACAGGCCTGACTACTAACCCTTTGGTCCCAGTGCTGATATACCTTGGATCTGAGATCAGGAAGAGCCTCTTCCTAATGCGTCTTTGGATGCCAAAAGCACGGCTGGGAGAGCCACGCATCCCGACAGCCCCCACACGCTGATGTCACTGACCTGCGCAGCTGAATTCGTTTTTCTGGATCTCTGCCACATTGAGGCCACGAAGAGCAGGAGGGCCGGCACACTGCGTGAAGAGCCCGATGGTGGGGCGCTGGCGCAGCCACTGGGAAAGCCAACCCAAATGGCAGTCACAAAAGAGGTGATTGGAGTGCAAGCGACTGTACAGAGAAAACCCGGGAGGGGAGAAAAAGAAGCATCTCTACTCACAAGCTCACTCGTGGCAACCCTACTGCATGCAGCCAATGTAGGACAGGCGCAGTGTGCTTGAGTGGAACGGGAACGTTTCCCAGGAAGGAGATTCTGGTGCTACGGCAGCAGGCATCCGTGGGGCTGGCCTTAGGACTCAGCATTTCACAGACCTAGTTGCGATCACGCAGATTCCAGCCGGCCATGCTAACGCCACCATCTATCCCACATACCTTGTCATATAAGGAATCATGAAGTTCCTGAACCAGATTGTGGTTCTTGTTACCTTTGGAAGGGATCTTCCCAAATCTTCATCAGGCACCAAGTATGGGATCCTGGTAGGGTGCTACACACTACCTACTGTGAGAGCATCAACGCCAGGAAGGCAGGATCTAAACTGCAAGTTTAAACATGCCACTAAGAGTTGCCACCAGAATCCATTAGATGACTTAACAGCCCCCAGTTTATCGTGCTGTCCAAAATGTCTAGCCCACTATCTTCCAGCCACTCCATCACCCCACCCCTTCCTCATTTGCTCACAAGGTGCGCAGTTTGGGCATATGGTTGAAGCTGGAGATGGGGATAGTGCTGATGTTGTTGTTGTTCAAAGTCCTGCAGGGAAGAGACAGAAAAAGAGGAAGTGCAGCAGTGACTGTTTGAGCTAAGCATGTTGACCTTTCCTCCGCCTGTGTGTGCAGCACACGGACAAACACGTGCAGCCTGTATAGGAGATACAGCACCTTCTCAGACTGACAGTAAACATCATTCACTCACAGAATTACTTTCAGCCTGTGGTAGGAAAGCAATGGAACATATTTCATCAGTTCTTCTGCACAATCTCTACCATGCTCCTATAAAAAGCTGCTCTGAGAAAGGCAGAGACACAAACATATCATAGAGCACCTCTCTGGCCAGAAAACCTACACTGGCTTTCACTGACCTGATGTCCTCCATATGTTTTAGACTACAACTCCCAGAATTCCTGAGCATTGGCCAGGCTGACTAGGGCCGATGGGAACTGAAGTTCAAAACATCTGAGGCACATCAGGTGGGCCTCCACTGTCTAAGTGTCTTTGGCCAGACTTTCAAGGACGGTCCACATGCCAATTTCATTGCAAAGGCTCCTTCTGACCCTCATGCCCCTCATGGTTGGAAGTAAGGGCCCTGTACTCATCAATGGTCCCAATCGGTCTGCGGTGTCTAGAACAGGAGAAGTGCTAAGCTTTGGATTGCCACTTGACTATCTGTAGGGTTTATTCAGAAGCAAACATACATAGAATTCCACAGAGTTAGGTAACAAACTATTTTAAATCTATATATAAACTATATAAACTATAAGCTACCTGAGAGGAGTACCAACCCCAGTACAAATGAAAAACAGCCTCCGTCCTGGGATATGGAACAGTAGCAGGACCTAGTGGGATGGAAATTCTCAAGAAACATACTTTCAGTCAAGTAGCTACACTCCTCTAACTCGGCTTGGTGCCTGCAAATGAACAGCAGGAATGCTTTGGGTCTTGAAGAGCTTCAAGGATATCACCGCTTGCACCAGTAGCTCATAAAACCAGAGTGAGAACGAACAGAGAAGATGACTCTTTGTCTACATTACTGCGCACTGTTTCTTTCTGCACGTCGCCCCCAGCCCCACCATGCTCCCTGCTGTTGTGCCAGTCACCACCACACACAAACGTCTCCACACATGCAAAAGGCAGGCTCGCTCACAGGCGGTCCACCTGGCTTCCCAGCGACACTTACAAAACCTCCAGGCCACGAAGAGCACGGAAAGCCCCTTCCTCAATGCAGCTGATATGGTTCTTGTCCAGTTGCCTGTGTGGTAACAGAGACAATTAATTTATTTATTCTCAGCTGTTCAGACAAACCCATCCTGGGATGCTTAACACAGATAACAGCCAGGATGCATGGAAGGGGAAGTGAAGCTATGCAAGAGGAGTGATAGTCAAGAGGCTGGGGCATTAGATAAAGACAATGATAACTTTAAAGAGCCAATGCAAGAAACAGGTAGGAAAAGGTGGGAAGGAACACGACGTGGGTGCAAGAATGCCCACAGGCACCTAAGGCACTGGTGGAGAAACCATGGCATGCAAGCCAAGTCGCCCCAGCATCGCCCCAGCAGCTGAGCATCGGATAACAGCGCACACAGGGGCCATGCGCATGCTCAGAAAGTAGTGGTGCCAGGCAATGACGGCACAAGCTGTGAAACATCAGCCATGACTCGTCTGAGCTTTCACAAGGCTGGTCAGTGCACTGCCAAGGAGATATATGTATATATGTATATATTTGCTTGGGCTGGCTGTTTTCAGGTTTTATTGCAGTGTTGGCAGGTTACAATAAATAAGTTGGTTTTGGGTTGCAGCTTGGGCATTTGGTCTCTCAAAGGTTCACCATCACTAAGTTACGGTTAGAGGTGTCCTGGCATGATTTTGATGGTTGGGATGTGTTTAGAATGGGCAGAAATGTTGAGCTGTGCAGAAAAAACTACTCAAGGAAGGCTTTTTCAAAATCACATTATTTTCAATGGAACTTTAGCCTTATATTAGGGTTAAGGGTATGCACTAGGGTAGGGTTGGGTTAGGCAAATGAGGTGTCCTGCTACGATTTTGATGGTTGGAATGTATTTAGAATGGAAAGAAATGATGAGCTGTGCAGGAAAAGCTATTCAAGGAACGCCTTTTCAGAACCGCCCCTTTCAATGGTATTTTACTCCTATATTAGGGTTAGAGGTGTGTGCCAGGGTAGGGTCAGGCCAGTGGTGGTGAACCTATGGCACGTGTGCCACTGCGGGCACGCAGAGCTCTCTCTGTTGACATGTGAGCCAAGTCGCCCCAGCATCGCCCCAGCAGCCGTGCATCAGATAACAGCGCACACTGGGGCCATGTGCCTGCTCGGAAAGGAGTAGCAGCGCCAGGCGATGATGCCAAGTGCTGTAAAGCATTAGCCCCGACTCGTCTGAGCTTTCGCATGGCCGGTCAGTGTGCTGCCAAGAATACATATATGTTTGCTTGGACTGGCTCTGAATTGTTTTTTCTAAACTAAAATCTCAGTTTTTGTGTTTTATTGTAGTGTTGGCACTTTGAGATAAATAAATGGGTATTGGGTTGCAGTTTGGGCACTCCGTCTCTAAAAGTTTCGCAATCTCTGACCTAAGGGATGTGATCCTAGTGCTCTTATCCTACTAATATTACCCACTGTAGATGGATTTGTGGGACCTTTTTCCCGCTCATATCATTGGGAGTGCATTAAAATGTATGACAAGTTCTCCCGAGCCACTTGCTCTGCTAGGCCACAACACTCACAGGTTCTTTAGGTCAGTAGCTCCACGGAATGCCTTCCTGGGCACAGCCTGAAGGAGGTTCTCACTCAAGTCCCTGCAGATGAGAGAAATTGGAGAGAAGCTGTTAAAGAAGAGGCAGAGAACAGGGTTCCCAAGGTGAGGGCCACTACTGGACTGACGGAAAGTTCAGAAGTAATTGAATACTTTGCCCATGCTCAGATGCATGATAATCCTCATTACTGGATCATACATGCTAGACTGAGCTTCAACATGGTGCAAATTCTGTGCAGCCTGGAAGGCTGTTTTTTTTCCACTGGACATGAAATGATAGAGAGCAGAGGTGCAGAATTTCAGGTTGTGAGCCCAATCCAGCCCATCTGGATGCCTAATTCAGCCTTGGAGTTCTCCAGAACCCTTCACAGTCTCTGAGATTGTTTGGTTTCCTGGCTTTTATACCTCACCTCAAGTTTGGTTACAGCAAAACAGAGTTTTCAGCTAAAACATACTGGTACTTTTGGCAATTTGGCCCTACCCACCATTAGAATCTCCAAACGCTTCCTTTAAATTGAATTTAGCGGACCAAGAGTGAATGTTTAGCAAAGATCACTGTATTCTGGAACCATTTGTACAAAGGATGGTTCATCTTGTCCCTTCTGTTGCAGCAGCAAGATGAAAAGACTGATGATCATTTTAACATGTCATGCAATACAGGATAAATATATCCCAACAAAATTTTAAAATGCAATAAAATATTTGAGATAAGTGGTGAAAGTACTGGTGAAAGTACTTCTACTGGTAAAAGTAGAAAGTATTTTCAAAACAAGTCCCAACCAACACTATTTTATCTGTAACTTGCCAGCTTACAAACAAGTGAACAAGAATATGCACTGACTCTTGGCAACTGTCAAAAATAGGGCTTTTTTTGAAAGCAGGGATCCAGAAAAAACTAGACAGGGTAATTTGGATAGGGAATTATACAGATTTCATATGTATACTTCTCCAAGCAAATTGCTTTGCTTTGTCCTCCCTACATTTCTGTTAAAAAACAGCAGCCTTACTTCTGACAGCTAGCAGAAGCAAGAGTCAGTTAAAAGGGATGTGTGATGTATTTTCCCATCTTTTTGAGTACCTAAAATCTTGGAAATGGGTGGAAAAGTTGGGGGCACTGGGACTTATCTGGCAGACACTTAACATTCTGAATGTTTCACTGCAAAGGGGAAGGGAAGGCACCTATACCTTTCATGAGCATCACTCAAGTGTGCCTCTGCTTTTCCTTGAAAGCTTGCCTTTTGACAGCTGCCAGTGGAAAGCAAAGTCAAAGTTAAACCTCTTTGAACCTTCACTGGGTTAATATCCAGGGTAAGTACCTGCTGTACTTTGATAGTAGGTGGCTCAGAGAGATTGGCCAGGCAATGCTTTCCATTTTAGACCCATGAAAATGCACACCACCATACTTGCACAAGTTCAACTAAATGCTAATTTAAACATGTACTGGAAAGAATTGAACACATTTGGATTGCTTGTTTGTTTGTTTATATTCTGTGGTGAACCAGTAACTTTGAGAACCTTGAAAGAGCTGCCACCAACAGCAGCATGGGTGAGATTGCCAAGAGGGGCAAGGGGTTTTTTTGCCACTCTTGCCTTGCATCTCACTCACCACTTTCCTTTGCCCCCGGTAGGACCAGTGGCTTGGATTCAGATGGCACAACAACTCATCATGGGTAAAGCAACCATTACAACAGCCCATGTGTTGGAAAAAGCAAGTCCTCATGCAAGGGATAGTCTTGGTTTAGACAACAACAATCCGTCCACAATGGATTGCGGTGTCTCGCAGAAACCGGGTCAGTGGTTTGTTAACTATACTGTGTGTGCCAGTTGCATGCTGGAGGGACTTGCATTATTACCCTTCGCACTGCAGGTTGTCATGTTGCGAGACCCGGGCCAGCCAGAAATCACAGGCAGTTCTTGAGCTCTGGGTGGTGTCTTATACCTAGCAACAGACCACCCTGGCCGACCTCACATGACATGACAAGATAATAATCCAAATTCTCCTAGAATGTGGCTGGTACATGTGGCATACTTAACCAGGGCTTGTTAACTACCTGCTGATCATACAAACTCAGTCTACAGCTTGTTCAGTTCTCCCAACACTGCTTGTAAAAACCCCATTGGCTCCTGTGCCTCCCTGAGGGTTTGGAATGGCAAGGCCACACTTTCCATCAGGCAGGGTGCAGCAACTGCCCCCAGGGATGGGTGTTGGGGGGCAGCAGCAAGGTAGCTGGAGAGGGATCTGAGGGCCATGCAGTTTGCCCTCCAACTCCTAAGCTAGTTTTCTGCCTTCAGATGTGATGGAGGATGCTGTCTCATTGCCAGTGTAGAAGGGCGATTCGCTCATCATCCCATTTTGCTGTTTTACATGGAATGGGAGAGGGCATCATCTTGTTCTTTGCTTCAGGCAGCAAAATATCTTGACCTAACTCCATGAAAGAGACTGTAGGGAAAATCAGAGGACTTCTTGTGTGATTTATCCTTCTCCATCCCTAAACAGAAATGTTTGGTGACTGATAATCTGTTAATAATAACTCTTGGCAACTCTGTCTATGACTCCCAGGGTCCCTAACTGGCAGTTTAAACAACATAGCCTCTAGTGGTTGCAATTTATTTGATACTGAATCCTTCCTTTCATGCAATGGTTGCTCCATAGCTGACAGGCAAGTGAAGAACATTTGCTGTATATTTTTGTATCACAAGACCACACATACACATATCATGCTCCACAATTTGCACACCTTTAAAAAAAAACAAAAAACAAATGACATCCAAGAGCCAGAAAAAAACAGCATTTTAGCACTACTGTTTAAAAAAGCCAGCAGGGGGCAGCAGAGGCTTTTCCACTGTTGAATTCTCTCTCTCTCTCTCTCTCTCTCTCTCTCTC